TTCATTAAGAAGACAATAAGAAAGGACTAAGTAGTATGGGGATTTTCAGGCTGGCGTAAAGAGGACTTCTGCTGATAGAAGAATTTATGCTGATTATTGCCAGTACCAGTAATCTAAAATCCAGGTTTACTGGGGGAATTTGGTAACTTTATTGGAAGTGTTACTATTAAAGTGAGGGCAAGAACAGGGCCATCATGTATCAGTAAAGACTTCCAAACATGACAGGTATGGTAGTATATTCAATGTGTTTTCAGATTTTTTAAATGTAAATAAACTGGTTGCATGTATTCAAGTCTGCAAATAACTATGAAATGAATGACTTTTATTCTGACACTCCTATAATATCAGCCACATGGACTCAGACCAAAAAAATTATCTAGTTAAGCGTGGCCTTCCTACAGTGGTCAGTGAGAAGCCCACAAGAACGATATACGTAGAATGCACAGTCTTCCCCCTAGGAATTAATATATTGCTTCAGGTGGTATAGAAATAATTTCATGATGGTTGCTATCTGGTAACTCTACTCTTATCAATTTGCTTCTTAAATGTGATAGTACTAAAGATTCTTTAGTAATGAATAAACACTTCATGATGTTTATAGCTTACCAGCAGAACATAATAGTCAATTAAGTTGGAAAGATAAAGACAAAAAACACATTCACAGGAACAGAGGTCAATCAGTTTAATTTACAACTTTTAAAAGTGGTTCACAGAACCAATAAAATCAGCAGGAAAAGATACACTATGGTAAATAAAACCTAATACTGTTGGAGGCTTAGATTCAAGTCAGTCTTTTACCCAGTACTTTGCCTGTGCTCACAGAATTCTTGACCAAAGCTACAAAAGAAATTAGGAAAGCATAATAAATAAGAATGCCTTTGTCGGTTATGGCATTTTACAAAAAGTTTTCCTGTTGATTTATTTTCACATGTAAATATAGCACAGAAATGAGGGTGCCTTTAAGAACCAAACCACACTAATATAGTTTTATAGCCAAACATCCATATCAGCTTCAGTGGATTTCCTTCCTTACTCCATTTGTACACTTGAAGGAATCATAGCTATCAGCAGAGGGGAAACATCTGGGTTATTCACACCACTACAGCCCAATAAGCAGGGTCTTGTTATCCTATCTGAAATTACAACCAACCAAGCTATGCCATACCCTTTGCTGACCCAGTTTCTCTACATTCGGCTTTAAGCCAGATTCATAGCATTGGAAGTTGCTAGAAATGTTCAGCAGAACAAAAGTGCAAACCCTGCATCATGCGCACTTAACTACTCACTGGGTATTCCTGCACATGTGTTTCCATATCTGAAACATGCTCTAATTTGAGTTAAAGTAGATAAATCATATTCTTAGCATTAAAGTGAATAGAAAGCAATGACAGCCTATATGTAATTGAACAAAAGCATCTTGCCTCACTCTTATGCATAAAAGAGAAATGGGCATATAACAGACTTCTTAAAAACACATTCACTTTTTGGACAGTTTGATCAAGGGTTGAAATTGCAGGATACAACAATGCACTAACATGCTTTTGCTAGCACAACAGAATTTTCCTTACCTTCTGCATCATCTGAAAATACAGAAAGCTTTTTCCATTAGATGATTCAGAGGGCCCATTTAACATCAGAGCAAGTGTCTTGCTCCTGTTCCAAATAATAAAACTCTCCATCAGTAAAACCAATAAACGGTATGAAACAGCCTTTCCTTTGCACAGCATATTTTTATGTTACCCGTTGTCCACAGAAATTCACTTAAGATGTATTAATTAGTACCATGTCCATACAGTAACAGCACTATCAATCCCATAAATGAAAGCCTCTAAACTTCCAAGCCACCAGTTCTGTTGAGTAGGTAATGCTGGTATACATAAGAGCTAGCGGTAAATCATGCTACTCTTTTGATAAAGAGTTTTTCTTCTGTTGCATTAAATAAGGATTGCCTCATTGGGGCATTTTCAAATATGAAGAAAGGGAATCATATTTGTTCCAGTGCATGGCCTGGGTTTGAGTGGGATGCTGCAAAACAGATGCCTTAGGGAAAAGGCAGAAGCAAGAACAGTTCACTGCACAGAAAAGGAACACCAGAAGCTACAGCACATGCAGTCTGATATGCAGGAATCACCACGGCTGAATTAATGAAAGTGACAGTAGCACCGCACAGCTGCAAAGCTTCCTGGAGTACAACAGCCCTGTAGTCGCCTCAAGGGCCAGCAAATTATGTGAGGCATCTGAAGACAGATCCATCCCCCTTTCAGAATAAAAAAGTTTTTACACTGCTATCTCTGATTCACATAGTGAAGGTCACAGAGTGTCTGCTCCAAAGCAGTCAGATCAAGGCAGATAAGCAGATGTCAAGAGACTTTTTCCACCCAAAAGGCATTCTGCAGTTTTAACTGCTTTCGGCTACAAATAGTTTAACAAGTACTAATAAAAGATTAAATAACATACTAGACTGTTCTGGCATTTTAGTAATAATGAAATGACTTGAGTAATTTAAAGCAAAAATACATGCTTATTATGTTAAAGTCTATTCCATTTTGTTATGAGCAACATACTGATTTCCTCTCTAATTCTGAAATATTTCACAACCATTTTATACTCTCCAAGAGTGAAATCTTTTATATTGTTTTTAAAAGTCATGAATTTCTGGCACCTCCTTCCATATTGTATCTTAACATTCTGAATTACAGTATATTCTGGCGTATAAGACTACTTTTTAACCCAAGAAAATCTTCTCAAAAGTTAGGGGTCGTCTTATATGCGGGTGTAGTCTTATGCATGGGAGTAGTCTTAACTCTATATTTTAACTGGAAAAGTTGGGGGTCGTCTTATACGCCCAGTCGTCTTATATGCCGGAATATACGGGTAATATCAAATCCATGATTTCAAAACTAAACAGCGTTTTTTCTGCATTTTGCTTTTTTTCCTTTTCTTGCTTTGTGGACAAGTGTTCTGTTAAACTCAAAAGCTTGCACATAATTTTGTGATCTTCTGTAGGTGTTAAAAGGGTATTTGCTAACATTGTTGGCATTATTCTTAGGAGCAGTACAGCTACTGCTGGTTTGAATGTGCCATGCTTATAACAATATGCAAAACTGTTGATTACCCCCACCCCCCACAGACAATGACAGAAACCAAATGCAATGCTTACAGAGGCTTCACTTTCTGATTCCTCCGTCCTGCAGCTCCCCATAGCACACATATTTGAGAGGGCCTTCAAAACAGATTTTAGGGTGCATGAACCCTCTTCATTTTCCACTGGTAAAGTAGTTTCTGCATTTATTACTAGCCTTTAGTTCCCTTTATCTTCCATACCTGATCCACTGCAACTTTATAGTCTTAAATATGTGTACCTTAACTGAAAATGATCATAAGTACTCCAATTTTAAAATTCACCTTTCTTTTAAAAATTAGGTAAAAACAAAACCAGCTCCATAATTATGGTTTAAAAATCACAAACGTGATAAAAGAAAAACAAGAGGGTATCTGAAATTCATTACAAACATGTTACCCTAAATGATTTCACAAAGACAAAATAACCATATGAATTTGCACTTTGGGGGTATTTGGTTTGGGAAAAATTACTATGGTCTTCCCATTGCTACCTTGTGGAGCATAAGTAGAATATGAATTTGATCAATGTAAAAAAAATCTACACTTATTTATCAAATACATAGCTTTACTTCAAAAAATGTCCTCTATATATTTTGGATCTCTCAACTCCTGACCACTGTTGATCATGCCTCAGGCCAGTGGGATTTCTAGTAACACTGGAAATGGAGAAGGAGACCCTAGTTGATTCCACAGGCCTCTTGGGGCCATGGATTCCCATTCATTTTCTTATCCAGTACCTGCAACTCATTTTTTTAAAATTAAACTAGTTTCAATAAAATACCAACTATATGAACAAAAACAAAAGTGGAATAAAAAGGCTGGTAGAGAAAAAGAAGGGATGCAAGTCAGTATTCAACGATTTGTTAATTCCCTGAGTTTTCTGTTTGGAGCATATATTATCAAAATGCATTTACATTCTGCAACAGACAGAATTTAATATATAGTTGCTGCCATGTAGCTTGATAATTGATCTAACTTCTATGATTTACAGCAAGCTACTTCTCATATGATTAGAAAGGTCTTTTGGTCACAAGTGGATTGGGGGCCTTTTATATTCATAATCTTGAAGTAGTATTGATTAACTGGAGAGGTGCAAATCTTCCATTAATTTAAGGGATATATTTAAAGATTCCTTGGACTGTTTAAATGTTTTTGCTTTTCAGACTTCCTTCCAGGTAGATTTATATCATATCTCACTTTTGCTGCGCCTGATATGTGAATGAAACTTCCTCTAAATTATTAGCTTTACACCCAAGAAAATCAAATTTTGGCTTTGTGTACTTAAATGTAGAACCACTTTCATTTTTTTCCAAATAACCACATAAGAATATACAAGTGAAATACAAGAAAAAAGGCTGCATATTCAGCAGCTTTACAACTACACACTATGACAACCAATATCAGCATTAATCTGGTTATAAAATGTTGCAGGATACAGTTTCCAGTTCACTGTTTACCAAATGGACTTCGATATATTGTTCATGACCTAGACTTAGAGGTAACTGGCTGAGCTCATTTCCTCTGTGCTGTCCAAGGTTTCAAGGGTAGTATAACACAAAGGAGAAAACTGGGTCTCAGCAGATTTTAACTGACAAGAATAGGACATTTGTCAAACAGGCAGTAGCTCATGAAATTCATACTCAGAAAGAGTTGTGGTAATACAACCAGGCAATGGTGGACAAGGGGGGCGGGGCAGTGCTGTGAAAAGACATGAGGAATGCTGGTGGCTCCCAACACTCCATTAGCAGAGATTTATTGGAAAAGGAGAGTAGAAAACAGTTTACTGAGTAATGGTGGCCACATGTTTTCTATTTTTTTCTTTTCCAGGACTGTTTCTAACATCCATTATTATATGTCTTAGATTCATGCTATTGCACTGAAATTCCAAGACATTTATTTTCAACGCCTAACAAAGTCCTAGGCTCAGTAGACTAACCATACCACATTGATATATGGAAAACATGACTCCAGTGCTATCTGCCGCCTGTACTAGGAATACGGGTTACAGTGGGAACATTAAGCAGTTTGTCAGCACCACTTACAAAGAACTTAGGTGTGATAAAACATCTTTTCATTTGGCTCAGTAGCTTTTAGATTCAGTTTTACTATGCTCTGGATGGAGTACAGTTTCGAAACCCCAACACAGCTGATAATTGTTTTCCCACATGTTCACCTGCTGACCCTTTCCATCTTCTCTAATGGCACCACATTTCTGCTTCTTGAGGCAGTAGCTCTGGACTGAAAATGGTCTAGTGAATGGCTTTGCAGACATTTTGATGCTGGTAGTGATCTCTGTTTGCCCTGAGCATTTGAAGCCCAGGCCTCTGTTGTCAAAGTTGGAAGAGAGGATCATATTTCCTAACTTCCTGTAGTAGCCGTATTTTGTCCAGATTGGCTTCCTCAAGGGCTTTTTGGGTGACCTGGAGTTCTTTTTCCAATGTTGGCACTTCCTTCAGCTGCAAGAAACAAAATAAGGAAATAGTGTCTTCTCAAAGATGTAAAATGTAGTGAAGATACAATGTTTTCATTATCAAAACAGGTGTCTTTCCTACTAAAAGTATGCACAGATAGATAAAGCAACCTAATTTAGTGTAAGAAGAGACAGATATCAGTGGGCAAGATTTCCAGAGTTTGCTCCACTGCCTTTTGGGCATATGGTGGCTCAAAAAAGATTCCCACCTGTTATAGCTATTTTAGTGTATAAACTACAGTCTACCAGCAATTCATATATAGATACAGACGCTCCTTGAAACTCTACTGCATAAAATATGATCTTCTCTAATAGATCAAGCTCTTTCATGACTTGCAATGTAACAGAAAATCCAGGACTTGTAAGATCTGAAATAAAAGCCAAAGCGTATATGGGATTACTTCTTTAATTCACTGGCCTAGGAGACATCGTCAGCCTGTACAACCCAACCATTTTCCAATGAAAATATGAAGACCCTTTAAAATCATGGTAGATCAATGGATGTAGTAATATTGTGATTAATAGAGACGCCCAAGGCATGAGATATTCTGTCATCTATAGCAGACATTAACAATTGAACTAGGTAAATTATTTCATGCATAGGTGAGAAAAAAATCTTCAAAATGATTTTTCATTCCTTGATTTTTATGGAACTTAGAATTAGTTAGGCAGTTGAATTTTTAATGTATTAGTCAACATCTTGTGAATAAAAGTTACACCACTATTTATCTAGGCAGCATATATCTTTTTTCGCCTTGAAATATTTTGTGTGGGGAATGATGGGGGTTAACACCCAGTTAGATGCTCTGCAACAAGAAATGCTCAGGTGGAAAAATCACCCAGCTGAGAGGCAAGTTTTAGCTCTCCAGATAAAGAAAAGGTGCTCACCAGGATGCACATGTGCTCAACAAGATGCCATGGAAACTTCAGCAGTCATAAAATGGGTGAGTGGTAGAGTGAGAGGGTTTGGGATTCACACCAGATTAGCCACTCCGCAAGACTATAGAGGACACTGGACCCACAAAGATTCTCACCTTAAACTACTGTATTTTTAAGCATTTTGTTTTCATGTGAAGAAAGTTATTTTGATTAACAGTGAGACTGAAGTCTTAGTAAGTTGTTTACTTTCATAAATAAGATTTGAGAACTGTTTAAGGTTTATCTTAAATGTAAAATATCTGGTTCAATTAAGTTCTTGGTGTGGTTAATTTTAAAATGTTCAAAGTTTCTTACTCTGATTTTGATGAGTGTGAAGACCCGTTGGAAATTTGATTCTTTATTTTACAAGAAGAAAACATTTAAGAAAAACCAGACAGCAGATGAGGGACTCCAGAGATCAACCTGGGATAAATTTCTAATTTCATAGAAAGGTGAAAATGAAGAAAACCTATGAAGTTCTATAACTCTATTATCTAACGGACAAGGAGAAGAATTACAAAACTACAGAAAAACTTGAGAAATTGGCTTTTTTCTTTTTAAACCTGTAAGTGTTGGATTTTTGCATTCTACTGAAAACGGAGCAGTGTCCTCTAGAAATTCTAGAAAAATATCTGGATGAGATCAGAGTTTTGAGGAATGCAGACATGGTAAAACTGAAAGATGTTTGAAAGACGATATGAACAAGTTAAAAAAAAATTAAAGAATCGGAAAAGCAGTCAGTCTGGATTGTAAAACAAAGTAATAAGGGGGGATTTTTGAAGTTCTGGACAATGAAGTAAAAAATTTCTAGTATAATGACAAGTTTTTTTATTAATGAAAATATTAATATAGATCAAGTTGAATGAAAAGATGCAATATATTTAACAGAAAAAAGGCTGAAGTGTTGATTAGATGGATATAGATTGTCGTTTCCAAATAATTTTGTCAAAAAGTGAGAGACCAAATTTGAAAGTGTTGGGAGATTTTTTTTATGCAAAAGAACCTTTTGGAATCCTGTTGAGGAGCTATGGTCTATGTGGGGATGGTCCCAGAAAGGGAAACTGGATTCTGGCCTCCATACAGCTGTCTACTCCTTCATTAAACACACTGTAAACTGTTAAAAGACATCAACTTGCAGGAGAAACTAACTGGGAGCAATAGGACAGCATGCACTAAAGTGCTTATAAAGCTACTATCCTCCCAAACCTGTTATACGCCTGCAAAATGTGGGCCGTCTACAGATGTCACACTCAATTCCTGGAACAACTCAATCAGCATTGCCTCCAAAAATCTTGCAAATCTCTTGGGAAGATGGGGACAAATGACAGTGTTCTGGAAGAAGCCGAGACCACCAACACTGAAGCGATGATCCTCTGCCATCAACTTTGTTGGACTGGCCAAAATGGTCTGAATGCTCAATTCAGAGTTGGGAGTATAGTAACTCCCAAAGTTGGGAGTATAGTAACTCCTAAAGCAGTTACTATACTCCCAACTCAAGAATGGAAAAAAGAATGTTGCTGGACAGCAAAAGAGATAGAAATCTTTAAAACTTTGGCATAGACACTGAGAACTGGAAAGCCCTGGCCCTTGAGCACTCAAACGAGGTCAGCTCTGACCAGCAGTGCTACGGAATTCGAAGAGGCACGAATAGAGGGCGAAATGGAGACGTGTCAAGAGGAAGGCACATCAAGCCTTCCTGATCAGGACTGCCTTCCACCTGGAAATCAATGCCCTCTGTGGGAAGAACACGCGGATCAAGAATAGGTCTCTACAGTCACCTATGGACCCACCGCCAAGATACTACACTTGGAAGACAATCATACTCGGACACCAGTGATCATCGATGATGGCTAAAGTGCTGGCTTTTTCACAGTAAGAGAGAATTCCTGAGAAATGTGGCTTATTGTCATCCAAAGATTCCTTCAATATAAAACAACTGAACTCCAGTTTGCACTCAGAATTGTATATAAGTTCCTAATTCACTGAATTGCCAAGAAATGCACTGTTACTATTTATTTAAAGTTAGCTTGTAAATATTGTGGAAAGATTCACAGAGATTTATATGTCCTCATTTTTATTGCCTTGAACTGATACGTTTCATATTGCAAATTACTGTACTTTTAGTGCCTTTTTTACACTGTTTATCAGTGCTTGAAATGAATTTGAGCTGTCCTTCAGAGACACTGAAAGTAATAATAAAAAGAATACTAAAAGAGTTGTTTTGGGAGGAAAATATCTTGTAAACTACTGCTACAATGGAAATTTTCATCTGGCTAATCTTTTTTTTAGCATTCATAGTCATTTTTAATGAAATGCAGAAGTAAAGGGTAGTTAATAGTAATATACATATACGTTTATTGAATACATTAAAGTAAACTATTTCTGATTTATGGCACCTCGAAGGCTGGCATGTTTTATCTTGTATCAGCTTGTGAAGACTAACTGATTGGGCATAAGCTTTCATGATTATAGCCCATTTCACCAGATGCATCTTTCATGAGGTATAGTTCATGAACGCTTGTGCTAAATAAAACATGTTAGCCTTTGAAGTGCCATAAAACTCTTTGTTGTCCTTGCCACTACACTTATACAACTAATGCCTTCAGATTTTTAAAAAAACTACTTTATGGAACACTGGTCATTACATAAGACAGTTATAATACGTTGTATACAATAATAATATAAATATAAATAACTTGCTAATAATAATCTAAAATAGCCTCTTTTATTTCTTTATATGTTGGACTACCAGTGTTCTCTGTTATGTTCATTATGTATTAATGTGTGTTCCTTTATTATGATATTTGGGTAAAACAGTTGATAAATATTGTATGGCATTGTTTCCAAATTCTACTTTAGAGAACAGCCTTTGTAGAAAAGGTCATGTTCTGTATGCAGAGCCTCAGGGAGTGGATGCCTTTGCTTCTGCAAATATAAAAGAAAGGAAGGAAACTAAAGCTGGAATTTCCAGAAGAGCAGAGCACATGAGTTGGAGATCCATAAATGTCCCAAGAAAATATAAACATGTTTTTGTTCCTGCTTATTCTTGTTCCATGAGTGTAGATTGAAAATCTGACCCCAAGGGCATATTGCCTACCTGTAGCTCATCACTTGCTTCTGCTGAGGTTCTTTCTACTGGGATCTTCTGTTTCTTAAGGTCTTCCTGGAGCCTTTTCTGCCCAGAAGCTGTCTCTCCCTGTGCAGCTGGAGAGTAACATGGAAATGATATAAACATATGATGGCATTCATTATGAAGTTCTTTTTAGAATATTCTCTCTAGTTTCTGCAGCTGAAAAACTGAAGATAAGGAAAGGCGATAGATGACTAACAATATTCAGTGGCAGTCAGGGGTTGCCTTCTCCTTTTAACCATTTTACACAGCAGTTATCTTAAGCATTGTTTTATTTATCTCAATACACCCATTGCAAAAAAGGGAAGATGAGATGTGCTAAAGATTTCTAGAAGATGTACGCTATAAGATAGATAGATAGATAGATAGATAGATAGATCGATCGATCGATCGATCGATCGATAGATCGATCATAATAGGGAGAACCTAAAAGAAGCAGTGACCCTGTATTCTCTGTACCATGGCTCCCAACCTTTAGTCCTCTAGGTGTTTTGGACTTTAGCTCCCACAATTCCTAACGGCTGGTAAGATAGCTGTGATTTCTGGAAGTTGAAGTCAAAAACACCTGGAGGCCCAAAGGTTGAGAACCACTGCTCTGTACTGTGGCACTACTTCTACTCTTCTTGGGTGTCTGGGTGAGGAAATGGCAGTGGTGGCTCCCCACAAGGCAGCTTCGATGCATTCCCCTTTCCACAGAATGACCCTTGACTTATCCACAGGTCATCTCAAAACCATAATGTTGGCTCCCAAGACCTGCCTTCAACTTATACATGAGGTTGACTTATACATGACTATATACAGTAATTATTGTAGCTGCTACTATTGGAATAGATGGCACTGACCTGTTATACAGAACACTCCATCTTCATTACAACAGACAACAATGTGATCCATTGCTAAGATTACAGGAATAGGACCAGGAGAAGTGGGATACACACGAGGACTGTCATCCTGAAAAACAAATATCCCCTTGCTATAAAAACTTCCTCACATTTATAGCAAAAATATGATGTAAAAATATGACTTAAACTGGTATTTATTTATTTATTTTCATTTCTACCCCACTTTTTTCTCTGTGGGGGCTCAAGGCGGCTAGCATTCCACACTAGGCAAGTTTAAAAGGTGCAATACAAAAGTTAAAAGCAATTAAAAAGCAATTATATAGTAGAGAGTGGTCAAAACAAAATTAATATTCAGTAGATATACTAAAATGGCATTTAAAACTCATATTCCCCTTCAATCCCACTCACAGCACTCCCTTAACTGATCTTAAAAACCTTCTTATTTAAAAACCTTTCTGAATAAAAAGGTTTTAGCCTGCCGCTAGAAGAACAGCAGTGAGGGGGCTATTCTGGCTTCCCTGGGTAGGGAGTTCCAGAGTCGAGGGGCAGCCACCGAGAAGGCCTGGTAGTAATAAGAATGAAAGCATGGTCTAAAATTTGGACTAAAATAAAGATACTATTCCTCTTCCTTATGAAAAACATGCCTCATACCCGTTTCCAACTAAACTATCAAAAACTATAAAAGGACTCCAGACATTACTAGATATGTAGGTGGAGATAAGGAAGTATTGGCAGCTTATTATGTGCCTAAGGGCATTAATGAAACTCAGGCAATCAGTACTGGATCGCATATCTGCTTCTTACTAACTTTAAAAAGAGGGAACATTTTAAAAAACAAAGCGGTTTTGTCAAAGGCTTTTACGACCAAAATCACTGGGTTGTTGTAGGTTTTTTGGGCTACATGGCCATGTTCTAGAGGCTTTCTCTCCTGATGTTTCGCCTGTATCTATGGCAGGCATCCTTAGAGGTTCTGAGGTCTCAACCTCTGAGGATGCTTGCAACAGGTGCAGGCGAGACGTCAAGAGAGAATGCTTCTAAAACATGGCCATATAGCCTGAAAAACCTACAACAACCCAAAGAAGTTTTTTTTTAATTTGACAGGCCTGTAAGAATTGTGCATGCTAAGCACTGCATAGTCTCTCTTTGTCAGCTGACAAATAGTAGCAGAGCAAGAAATAATGGAGAATTCACAAAGAAATGGAGGCTGCCACTTGGGTATCTGGAAAAGAAGACAAAGGAAGATTTGAAGATTGCCATAAAGGGGATTTAGTGAAAGATGGCATATGGGTAGTTATGTGATTCACACTGAGGAGCGTGAAAGGTCATGGAGCTGGGGTCATGGGTGTGAGAAATTTTAAAGTATAATAACTATACAGTCAGTTTTGATTTTTCATGTTTAATGAGTGCTGACTGTATACCATTATGTAAACCTGCTAATTCTTTTGTATATATTTTTTCCTTTTTATTGTCTGTCTTATTTCTTATATACACTATAAAACAATTTTAAAATTGTTTAAAAAACCACTGCACAGTCTCTCTGATACTAAGATTTGTCAGAATGGGATATAAAACATCAAGAACTGAGTCATGTTTAATCCTACAAGGGTAATAAATAATTTTGAGACCTAATAATTTTGTCATCTATTAATATGCAAAGCAAAGTAACTGGATCCTTTTACATTATTACAAATTTGTGTTAGGATATGTGTTATATGGTGCAAATTTGGGGGAGGGCTGTTTAATTTTTAAATGTTGTTGCAATTGAATTTTAAATTTTTTACACTCCATAACAAAAATATTTTAAAATGTTAGATTCATATTTAATGCATTTGCTTTGTTTTCATTGTATTGTGTCATGTTTGCTGTTCATTACATCGGGTGAAAGGCAGAATAAAAATTAAGTAAATAAATAGATGTGGGTGTTGTGTTTTTCTTTGTTTCTGTTTCTTGAAATTTTTGTTTCTATTTCTTATAATATTCTAAAACAGTGAAAATATAAATATAACACATTTACTTAGAATATTGTACATTAAAGTCGCAAGCAAGACTGCTGTCAATATCATTGACATCAAAAAATGAAGAGCAATTAAGTGTAATGTAAGCATCTGTTTTCTCAACTGTCCCTTCATTTTTAACAATGAGCAGTAAACACAGCCAATAACAAACCACAGACAAGCAGATTCTAGGTGTGCTACCACATGGTTCCTATTTTTCTCTCAGCAGAGAAGTGAATACTTTGTTTCTCAAAATAAAAACTCCCAGTAGGTCACTGGAAAACTGCCAGGAACAGATTTTTGCTGAGAAACAAACATGTGCCCCATTTACAATATGTTTCTCAAACAGAAAGACAGTAATATTTGCAATGATAGCAGAAAAAGTGGCAACTCTATTGTCAGTTGTATAAGGGTGAACCTCTAGTGAAGTCAATGTGCCTAACCAACCCCTTGTTTATCATTATTGCTCAGGTACTATTCATGCGCCCATCTACACCAGTTTCAATCAGCACGGTTCCCAGCACTGTGGCTATCTAACAAGCTGATTTGTTGCACTGGATATGTATAACTTCTTCACTTTAGAAAAGTTCTTAAGAGTTCTCACTGTTCTTTGTCACTACATTTCTAATTGTATGAAAAAATAAACCTAAAACTAACCTGTAGGAAAATTAACCTAAACATGCATTGCATTTGGATTTCCTTGGTACCAGAAAGAATATTTTAACACAGGCTATAGCAGGCATGGGCAAACTTCGGCCTTCCAGGTGTTCTGGAATTCAACTCCCAGAATCCCTGAGATCATCCAGGGAGACCCTGCTCGTTGACCCCCCATTATCGCAATCGCATTTGGTGGGGACAAGGGACAGGGTCTTTTCTGTGGTGTCCCCTCAGCTGTGGAACTCCCTCCTAAGTGAAATTAGATCTTCTACATCTCTCTTGACCTTTCGGAAACAAGTGAAATCCTGGCTATGGGATCAGGCCTTTGTAGATTAGGTTGACCTGCTGACGTGACGGCTTTTGTGGAACCGACTGACTGCTCCTTGGACGATTGCTTAAACTGGCGACTATTGACTGTTTGATTGTCTTTATACTGTTTTATACTGTTTTATTGCTATATTGTTATTGAAATTGTATACTTATGTTTTGGTTATGGACACCATGGGGTGCCAGTTTGTTAGCCCCCCTGAGTCCCTCTGCAGAGGTTGAGATAGAACAGGATACAAATGTCCGAAATAAATAAATAAATAAAAAATCCCTAACAGCTCAGGCCCTTCCCTTTTCCGCCTCAGCAGCTATTAAGGATTCTGGGAATTAAAGTCCAAAACACCTGGAGGACCCATGCCTGAGCTATAGCCATTGGACAAAAGGGTAAAGAGTATTGTGCTGTCCACCATTATCCTGAATATGCCATGAGAAAATTTTGGATCTGAGGTAAAGGAAGGATGAAGACTCTTTTTCAAATGCTACAATATTTTTCTAAGATATGGTGATCAGAACTGTGTAGAGCATTTGAGGTGTGGGGTCCCATTATAAATTTGGATCAAGGCATTATGAGATTGACAATTTTACTTTTGACTCCTTTTCCTAATGATTCCTCAATGCAGACTGCATTTTTCACCACTGCAACCACTGAATGAATGCTTTCATCAAGTTATCCACTTTAGCTCTAAAACCGCTTTCGTGGGGCAGCCACAACCAGCTTCAGATCCTATCATATATGAAGTCAGACTTTCTGCCCAAAAGACTAGTATAAAAAGATTACTTTAGAACTTTTTGCAGTGTTTATTTTAGCCAACCTGACAATCTCACTACTCGAAATCCAGATTACTACTCTTTATCCTTTCATGAGGGGCTTTATCTAAACCTGTGAAGTTCACATCTGCAAAGAATCATCCCTATTTATTTGGCTGTGGACATTCTTTAATAACATGCAAATATAAGTGGGGTGTTTTTTTTAAGTTGTCCTGATTCTTTTACACCAACAATTTAACCCATACAATCTCCCATCCCTTTGGGATGCTGACAGTACATACACATGTACCTTCAGGGTAATCTTGGTATCCACAAGTTCAATCTTCATAGGGATAACCTCAGGGATAACTTCATCCTCAAGAAAGGGTCCAAGGCTAGACAGAGAGGAAGTCAGCAGCTCTGTATGATAGCTCTGGACCAACATGTGTAAAAATCCATTTTGGACAGACAGAGGTGAGTGCACCGCAGCACTTGGTCCTATTTCAAATCTTAAACATACATCAGGCTGGGACTTGCTTGTTTCGGTGTTTGAAGGGCTCTCTGAGTTCAGGTGTCCTGGAAACAAAACGTAATTGTAATAGATGCATTATATATTTTACAGTGCAGATAATATTATAGTAATATTTATCTTTCCATTACAAAAGCTGTTGAACTAATAATCTGTTATATTAGGTGGTGTAAGGTTCAATAACTAATCAAGATCTCCATAATGGATTATTTATGTCACTTTTCCTTATTCCATCAGTTTTCCTGATGGAAGCATCTGAAGACAAACTGAATATGCTAAAATTACCCAAGTTATATTTTTACTTAAGGCTGCATTTCATTTCAAAAGGAATACCACCCCATTTGATTACAAAAATAATTAAACTTCCTTTGAACTTTTAGAAACGTATATTTTATCAAGTAGACTGTTTATTAAGTAGATATTCAAAACTTAGGTTTTCTTATTTTTTTTAAAAAAATAGGATTTTTTTATACAAATAGTACTGTTGGAATGTAAGGTATTTGAGGTAACTGAAAAACCAGAGGCCATGGGACAGGGCTGGCAACCTTCTCCTCCCCACCCTTTTCAATGCTGCCTTCCACTCCTTTCTTCCTTGCCACCTATTTCTTTCATCACCTTCACCATTGCTGATGTAATGAGGCCACCGGGAGAGCCAATGGGATCTATGCCACAGCCAATAGGATCTATGCTACAGCACAGATTATAATCCCTTTAACCTTCAATATCTAAAGATCAGATTGGCACGCTGGGAATTATGGGCACAGGATTTCTAGAGTCTTTGACTTTCAGTATTTGTCTTCCATTGTCTTTCACCACCCCCCTTTCACTACACTGACTCAGCCTTTCATTTTCACACCACATCTAAAAACTGCATGCCAGCAGTTGGTGGATAAAAGAAGCAAATAGTGAAGAAATCATCACTTTCAATGAGCTTCACTTGTGCATGCCCATCACAAAACACGTAATTCAAAAAACAAAATGAAAATTAGATCAGCCCCTGACCTTCAGAAAGAGAATGAAAACATGGCTTTGGAATCAAGCCTTTGGTGAATAATACAGTACAATAGATGGATTTGGAATTACATGCAATGACTACCAGAATGGCCTGGGCTATGACTGTGGATAGTGTTGTTTATAGTAGTAATTGTAATTTTTTAAATGTTTAAATGTTTTCTAATCTTGTTTTTAAAATTTTAATTGAAATATTTATTTAATTGTATATTGAATGTATATTGTTTTTAAGGCATTGAATTATTGCCTATGCTGTAAGCTGTCTTGAGTCCCCTTCGGAGTCAAGAAAGGCGGGATAAAATTTAGTAAATAAATAAATAAACTTCAAAAAATGACAACCTCAAATCATAAACCTTTGTTTCATACATTTGTTGCTGCAAGGGGTGGGCGGGATAGATGGGCATACCGGAACTGGGAGGGGAGAATTTCATCCTCTATCCTACATGTCATCACAGTATGTTCTAGAGTATAAGGTTATAAGAGATAGATGGCACATCCTATTGTATAAGTAACTACTGTTCACACTGTTTTTGTTTCTACCCATTTAACTTTTTTCTTATAATCTGATGTTTTGTTAGTGGAAAAACTCCAACAAAATGTCTATGGGAAAAATACAGACACACATACTTCCAGATAATTGTTATTTTATGCCTTGCCTTTCCCAAAAAATTGGACTCAGTTTATAGAAAGAATTAGCATGGTAGAGTGCAGGCCTGCACAACCTGCAGTCCTCCAGATGTTTTGGACTTCAACTCCCAAAATTCTTGACCAAGCTGGCTAGGGCTCCTGGTAGTTGGAGTCCCAAACACCTGGAGGGCCACAGTTTGTGCTGGCCTGATGTAGTGGTTTGAGTGTTGGACTATGACTCTGGAGACCAGGATTCAATTCCTTGCTTGGCTGTAGAATCCCACTGGTGACTTGGGCAAGTCAAATACACTCAGCCTCATAAAAGTCTGTGATAGGTTTGCCTTAGGGTCACCAGAAATCGGAAATGGCTGCACAGCAGCAACAACAATGCCAACAGAGTATCTTTGCCTACCGAAATAACTGGAAATGCTAAATTACAGTCAAGGTTCCATTGGCCAGTAACACACCTGTTGAATCATCTTGCAGAAAGTGCCACATATTTAGATTTCCTAAGTGTTCGGGGTTTAGCTGCATAACCTGAAGGGCAAGCGCCATGTCTTCTCCTTTTATTTCGATCACACCGTTTACTTCATTCATTTTCAGTAACAAAATTGATACCTGAAATAAAAACCCATAGCAAAAAAAGGTGTTACATCACTTCCATTCTCTCCCAAACTCCTCCAAGAAATGACAGTTAAAAGGATGGGAACCAGAGGCTAGGAGGAAGATCTGACCAGCTGCGGGCTGGAGTCTTGCCCACTCAGAGAAGCCGAGCTGTTGATATAAGTGGATCCTCCTTCCTCATTTGCTATTGAGCTTCTCCGGATATCTGTGTTGCCAAGAGCATGGGGAAGATGTCCTGGTATAAAAGGTTCCAGGCCAGGCTCTGAAAAAAATTAAAATTAAGAAATATTTAATTGGATCATCATGTTTTTAACTACTCTTTTAGCATGGACAAAATTTCTTAGGATTCAAAAGCATGTGAAAATGAATCAATTTTATAGTGAAACCGATATTTCACACATTTGAAGAACAACAAAAATTGAAATTTTGAGTAAGGGCTTTTATGCAAGACATGTTATCTACCTGAAAACCCCTCTGTTGCATCTTCTCAAGATCAATACTAATATAAGTTTCCTAGAATACCTGCCCCATTCCCTTGCCATTAGGAAAAACACTAGCTTTCAAACATATAAATATTTTGAGGAAATAGAAAGATGTTTCTGTGTGCATATGCGCCAATGTTTAAGAATTCTTTACCCTCTCAATAAAAACTTAAGAGTCCAGTACTGAATGGAAACTTCAAAACGATGGCAAAGAAAGTCCAGAATGTGCTCCTCGTGAGAAAGTATGACTTATTGCTTTGATTACTTTGCCAAGCTGTTCTGGGCAAGGGATTAAAGAATGTAAAGAGTTTGCCCTACAAAACATGGTTAAAGTTTGTCACCAATGCTGCACTGAAGGAAGGAGAACACACCACTTAATTGACCATCTAAATCAAGAAAACAGAGGAGGTGGCATAGAAAGACAAAGAAACCACTTCATCAGAATCAGAACTGAAAATATAAGGATTGGATAAAAATACTGCCCAAACTTGTATATTTAATAGCTACCTACAAACCTTTCTATCCAGATAATTTGAATGAACTTCCACGGTTCTCATATGTACCACGTATCATGCCAATTGCCCATTGGAAAAGGAGGGTTCCTGGAATAGAACCACCTCTGAAAACAGAGAACCTCTAAATGTCTCTCTGATGTACACAAATACAAAATGCTGCACATAAATATTTCAAAACATCTATACTAAGGGATGTTTTGCTTCAGTCTGTTTCATACAAAAAGGATAATCAGCATAAAAAGAGTTCTGTAGCTCTGGAGGAAAAAACTGACTAAGAGTCCTGCTATCAAATAATGATTTACGTATTGCATATCAACAGGTGAAGTTTAGCTGTCTTTTATCATAACTGCTAATTTTCTTTCCCAACAGTTCAAGATTTTGAATGGGGCTCAGTCTCTGCCATCTCTCTTTCTGCTAGCTCCATTTAATCCTAGCATCCCCTAGCAATTAGAACAATCAGAAGAACTTTATGACATTACAAAAACTCAGACAATCAGAAGAAGCCTAAGGACAGGTGACAGCTATTTTACATAGTTCTGTCTCACACAGATTGTGAATGACTAACAATCACTGGCAGCAAAATTGTTTTTAATTTGCTGCTCCAACTGAATAAAATTTACTTAATTATTTCCCAAGATTCATAGAATCATAGAGCTGGAAGAGATCACAATGGCTATAAAGTCCAGCCCTGTCATGCAGGAACACAATCAAAGCACTCTGGACAGGTGACCATCCAGACTGTTTAAAAATCTCCAAAAAAGAAGACTCCCCCACACTCCAAAGCAGCACATTCCAGTGTTGAACAGCTCTTATCATCAGGATTGTTTTTTCTAATGTTCAGGTGGAATTTCTTTTCCTGAAATTTAAGTCCATTGTTCCATGTCCTAGTCTTTAAAACAGCTTTATGATCTACTTTGTGTAATTATATCCTAACATAACTTGTATAGCTTTTTCATGACAATGAAGCATAAGATCATTTACTTAAATTTATCGTGGCTAACGATACACAAGTAAGTTCTTACCAGACTCTGCAAGCAGCACAAACCCATCACTGCCATCACTGTCCACCGACAGCCTGTCTTCAGGACCACTGCCATCTAGTGAGCTGGTATCAAAGGAATGCTGAGAGGCAGTCCTCTTCATAGAGAACATGCGCATTCGTCCACCACTCCCACCAACTGGAGTCGATGCACCTTCTTCACCTTTTGGTGGAGGCTCCCTACCAACATGCATCACAATAGATCAAAACAGACTGTGTGCAAAGAATCATGATTGTAATTATCAAACGTCTAAGTGGGGTGCCCAGGCTTAAATATTATAGGAGTGTGTATGCACACAAGAATTTTTAGTTTCCCATTACCTCCACTGCTTCTTTGCCACTGAAACTGGACAATTGATGGACATATTTTCCCTCTGACTTTAACTTTGAACATAATTCCAACATAAGATACCTCATCAGTGAGCAGCATAGAACTATAAAGGTGAATTTCAATTATCTTTGGGGAGAGCTAAATTGTATTAACAGTTTGAATTGGAGCAGACTTTGTATGTTAGTAGTAAATTGGAACTGAATTAATTTATACACACTGAGTCAGTGGGACCAACATTAGGAATTAGATCTTGGGCTACATTTCCCATATTCCCTAGCCCCAACAAGGTCAATGGCCATATTGGCTTGAGAATTCTTGGAGGTAGAGTGCAATAAAAGGAGTATTTCAAAGCTCTGACTAGATACAATAATAATAATAATAATAATAATAATAATAATAATAATAATAATAGTATATTTCTCACCCGCCTCTTGTGGCTTGAGGCGGGTTGCAACATAGCTAAAACACGTAGCCATTGCAAACATTCTATAAAATGCACATATTAAAGCATATTTCTAAAATATAAATATTAAAATACACAAAACAAAGATTGAAATACAAGACCCGAGTTTAAAATTCATGACTAAAACTAACTAGGTATAAATTTGTTGCCTTTAATGCGGAATGTACATTTCATTAATTGCTTCCCAAATTACTGAATGCCTGCTTTATTAGGCATGCCTTGTCTAGAAAACTATGGTCAAAGCTGGTGTGCAGTCAAATATGCTCTCCTTTCATCAAAGAGAAACAATTTTAGAACAAAAGTGGGACAGACACTCAACCTTTGAATTCAACACCAAACAAGGTAAAATTAATTTAAATCACTTCCCATACAGGAATATAAAAAAACCTAATTACTTATGATAAAAAGCAAAGATGGCATTAAATAAGTATCACAGCCACCATCATCTGGGTTAAAGTGCTATATATAAGTTTGAAAATTACTCACTTGGTTTGGGGATGGAACAGCATTTTCTGTACAGTGGAAGCCATCTTTTCCTTACTCAAGCTGAAAGCATCTTTTGTTATGGACATCGCTTCTTTGGTGAGGTCCATGGTCACATGCAAGGCCTCCTTGGTTGCATCCTTTGTTATATGCAATGCACTAGATAATTCCATTTCCATATTTTTCAAAGGGATCGCCTCTTCTTGACCATTGGGAGATACTTGAATGCCACCAAGAGGATCTACAATGGAAGTTGGACTGGAAGGAAGAATTTGAGGATTTTGAGAAAAGCTTGTAGTTTCACTCTGTCTTTCAGTATCAAGAATTTCTTCTGCCTCATGTGCTTCTTCTATAGAACTTCTTTCTCCAGTTCTTTGTCTGTGAAACTCTTCTCCCACCAGGGAACCATCACTCTGGGATTTCAGCATGCCATCCTGCAAAGTGTTTATACTGGTATCTGTGTGCCCAATTCCACTGTCGTCTACAAGTTTTATGGGGCTGCCATCTTCTTTATCTGAGGAAGCATCTGATTTCATCTCCCTGACTTCAGCAGCCAGCCCCTCCCTGCTATCTGAAGGGGAGAGTTCTGATTCTATTAGACTTGTTGTGTCTGAGTCCATAGATCTAGGTTCCAATGTAGAGCCTGGAGTAGGATGCATTAGCAAAGCCACCTCAGTGCTGTTGAACAGGAAACCCATACAAGTGGTCATAGAATCTAGAGTGGACCCAATTATTTCCTGAGTGTCTTGGGTCAACTGTTCTTGAAACGTTTGCAGGATTTCCTTCATCCTAAGTAGCATCAAATATTGGTAATGATTGAGTCTCACCTTCACGTGTGCACTTGAGTACAGTAGGACATGAACATCTGCAGATACTTCCACATCTTCATCATTTCCTTTGCCATTAACATTACAACTGCCTTTGTCTAAGACATCCTTTGCCTCTAGGGTGAGATAGATGCTTTTCAGGTCCTGCTCAGTCTTTGATCTTTGGCAGAACTGCTCCTCTCTGGAAATGACTTGATGTTTGGCATGGTTACTAAAGCTAGCAGAAGTCTTTACTTTGACTTGTGAGGCAGAAGAGAACTGCAGCATTGAGGACTGGACTTCCTCCCATCTCTTTGGAAGACAGGCCCACACACAGAGAGGGAATGGGGAAATAAAGTGAAGGACTTTGCCTTTTGAGCTTTTGGCCCCCTCAAAGTCCAGGGAGATCTCGGTGAAATTAACAGACCAAAGGTCTTCAGAAGCTGAGGACCTGACAAAGGAATGGCCAAAGTCTGTGTGTTTCTGGGCTTTGGAGTCCACTTGGTACGCATGGCGTAAGAAGAGGGTGTGAAGAAGGCTGAAATTATCCTGAAATTTAGGAAACTGGGTGTAGCTAGAGTGGAAGAATTCTGAAGCAGCAAATCTACGGAACAGATTCTGGAGGGCCAAACAGCTGCAGTGAGGGGCATGCCTGGTGTTGGTAGCTGTCATTTCTGATGTGCGAATGGACAGACAATGGGGGCGGTCTTGGTGATCCATTACTTTCTTCTCTACAGGGATGTTTAGCTATAGCAATCACAAAGGAAAAAAAGTAAAGACATTCAACAGTGCATGGTAAAAACCAACTATTGTTGATTTCAGGTCTTTTTAGTAAAAGACACTTCACAGCACATTGCTAACTTACTCCCACAGCAGCCAAGTGAGAACTGGTTGCTTATATTGCGAGCAGGGAATAGAAACTGACAAGTCTGTAATGTATCTAACACAACAGAACAAGTTCACAGCAGAGCAAGCAATTAAGCAAAATTTCCTAAGTGCAATGACCTATCCAAAGACAACAGCAGTTGCCCTATATTATGGGAATTGCATTAGTGCTTGGTAAAATGATTTCACTGTTATATTTAAATGCCTGCAGACTGATACTCAGAACCCTACATTATAATATGATATGATATGATATGAAATAATATAAAAGTAAAGATTTCCCCCTTGATATTAAATCTAGTTGTGTTCAACTCAAGGTAATGGTGCTCATATCCATTATTAAGCCAAAGTGAGGGCGTTGTCTGTAGATGCCTCCAAGGTCATGTGGTCAGCATGACTGCCTGGAGCGCAGTTACCTTCCCACCAGAGCGGTATATCTATTGATCTACTCACATTTGCATGTTTTCAAACTGTTAGGTTGGCAGAAGCTGGGGCTAACAGAGGGAGCTCACCCCACTCCCTGGATTCAACCTGCCAATCTTTCAGTCAACAAGTTCAGCAGCTCAGCGGTTTAACCTGCTGTGCCATCGGAGGGCTCCATAATATAATATAATATAATAATATAATATAGCTATGATATTCTCCTCAATGAACAATCAATATTTTCACCTAAAATTAATAGTATATATTATATATTACCATACAGCATCAAAGAAAGCTGCCACATATTAGGGAGAGAAGGATTGGAAGCAAAATGTACTTTTTAGAGAAGCCAGACATTGTCTAACCCTCTTCCCCTTATCTTAAGAATTCTTTCTTGTCTTGCGTAAGTTGGAACATAAAAGAAAACATACCTTTAGCATGAAGCCATCCATTCTGACATCAATATGTTCATCCTGCTTGCCAGAGTTCTCCAGATTGTATATTGCTTTGAAATGCTGTAGGCTGCGATAGAGATCAAGGCAGAACAAGTTCACCCAAAGCATGCTCCCTGTGTCCAGAGTGAAAATCAAACCATGCAGCTGCAAGTATAGGTTTGGGCACGGGACTGGAGAGGGGAAAAAGGTAAAGGTTAGCATTCCATTGGTTTGGACCACAATAGGAAAAGGGGGGAAATACGGTGCATTGGTCAGAGCTGCATCTCTGTAACAACCACAGAGTATCTAACTTAGTTTTGCACCATCAATGACAATCACCAATAGAACACCTTATTGCTATTATCCTGCCATTCTTGTCAAGCTTACATACATTAATTAGATGCTGGACAACTCCCAATGACATTGTTATTTTTATTATTCCTTATAACTAATGTGAGATTTCCTTTCTTTAAGAAAGGTATCGGTATTCTGCTTGCTTTCAATAACATTCTAGTACAACATAGATCAAGGCTGGTGAATGTGGTTGTTCAAATGCAATTCCCATCATCTCTGTTGGTCAGAACCAATGGTATCTGCACTTCAACAACAGCTTCTTGAGTTTTTAAGCAGAGGCTGGATGGCAATCTGTCCGGGGGGGGGGGGGGGGGGGGCGCTTTTGGTTGTGTTTTCCTGCATGGTAGGGGATTGGACTGGATGGCCCATGTGGTTCCTTCCAACTCCATGATTTTATGATTCTAGGTTCTAGAAAAGAATTAAGTAGATGAGAACTATTGAAGTTGTCAATGGTTCTTATACATTTCTAGACAGCAAATGTGGGTCACAGCCACATGAGGAAAAACTGACAGAAATATTTCAGTTAATAAAGTCTCTGACAAGTAACGTCCTTGTTACAAAGACTTATACATTGGTCCCCCCCCCCTCTCTTTTGCTCTCTATCATCCCTCTAATTGGAAAGGGGTTTTTTTTAGCAGCATTAGTACTACTAAAAAGAAGATGATGAAAGAAAACTAGTTAAACACAGATTTCCTGTTGGATATGACAACCTTCATCAAGTTTTCTCTAGCAATCTGTTTGTCTATGACCTTGTTGCTTACTGTTTCCTGTCAATTTAAGAGGCAGTGCTTCTATTCTATCTCCTGAAGGCAGCTCAAAGGTTGCAAAGAAGGGGCGATATATTCTATCTACAACACACAAACAGACATGCAAGTTGGGTGAAGAGGGAAGCAAAAAGAAGGGGGTAATGTTAGAATCAATACTTTATTATTTGCTCTCCAGCTAGAATATTGCTTCTGGACTGGTAACAGGAAGTTGTAATTTCTCATCTCATGACCTCAAAGCCTGGTTTAATTCAGGTAAGGAGAGAAGAGGTCCAAGATTAGGAAAGCAGGCCTATCCCCCATTCTAGCTCCAACCATGAAAGTGCCTTCAAGACTAAACAGAGGGCTGGGGAGAGACATGGGTGGTGAGGATAGGAGTCAGTTTGGATAAAGAGTGGGATACAAGCAAAATCAAAAATGTTTATTCATCTTGCCACCCATATAGAAATAAACATTTCCTGCAACCAAGGTCTTTTTGCATCCAATCATCCCAACATTTTTAAAGGAGTTAAAACTCCACAACACTGAGGGTAACATTCACAAAGTACAGGTTCTACAAAAGGCTAAATGTTATATGTGATATTGCCCAGAGATTTCCAATAGATATCAAAGAAAAGAAAGCATTAGAGCTAATTCGTTGCACAGGGAAGAAGAAATGAATCTTGGGTTACCAAGGCGATTTCATCATTTCTGGGAAGGCATAAAGTATTGCCCACAATGTGTTTTTAAATCTAATTTGTTTTGGGATAGCAGATCTTTTACACTTCGTTTGACCTCTATCATGCTTTTATAAAAAAGTAGATTTACTTTCAATATATTGTTCTTCCCAAGAGTGGTTTGATAACTATAGGTTGCTCACCTGTAACCATGGTTTCCTGAGTAGTCACCTGTGAATTCGCACATATGATATCTCAGCGCTTGCGCAATAGCTTTCGGAACCTTCTAGAAAGAAGAAAAAAACACTTGACTCCTAGCTGGCCCCACCCACCTCTCCCCGAGTATAAGTAGCCCGTGGGAGGGGCCAGCCGTCAGTTCTTTTTTCCGCCACAAAGCAGACAGAACGCGGGCATGACACTCGAGGGGAGGATGGGTGGGGATGTGCGAATTCACAGGTGACTACTCAGGAAACCATGGTTACAGGTGAGCAACCTATAGTTTCCTGTCGTAGTCCCTGTGAATCGCACATATGATAGATTAGCGAGCTCTTCACCTTGGATGGTGGGCGTCATGCCACCGCGGAAAACAAGACAGCTCTGCCAAACTGTGCGTCTCTTCTGGACACGACATCCATCTTATAATGGGTGACGAAGGAAAGAGGGGACGACCACAAGGCCGCCCGGCAGACTACATCCAAAGGGACGCCTCTCCAGTGGGCCGTGGATGTTGAGACGGACCTTGTCGAGTGGCCCCTCACCGGAAGAGGCAGGTGTGTACCAGATATTCGGTATGCCAGTTGAATCGTAGATACGATCCATGAAGACAATCGTTGCGAGGAGACAGGGCCACCCAATACATCAGGGCGGTATTTGATGAAAAGTCTAGGGGTCTTCCTGATAGGGGCAGTCCTGTCCACATAGAAGGCCAATGCCCTGCGGACGTCTAGAAGATGTAAGTCCCGTTCTAAAGAGGAAGTAGGATTCTGAAAAAAGGAGGGTAAGATCAAATCCTGGGAAAGGTGAAAAGACGTAGACACTTTAGGGAGGAAGGCTATGTCAGTCCTCAGGACGACCTTATCAGTGTAGAATTTTAAATAAGGTGCGTCTGCCCTGAGGGCACAGAGCTCGCTAGCTCGTCGAGCCGAAGTGACCGCTACTAAAAACGCAGTTTTCCATGAAAGGTGGGGCAAACTAACGGTCGCCAGCGGTTCAAATGGAGGTCTCATCAGTACTTTAAGCACTAGGTCCAGACTACGGGTGTAGTAGGAGGTCTGATGTTCAAGATACCCCTCAAAAATGTTTTCACTAGTGGGTCCGCAAAACAGGAAGGCATACCCGATTTCCTGCGGAACCAGGAGATAGCGGCCAGGTAGCATTTAATAGAAGGTTGAGAGAGGCCTGCGTCCAGAAGGGACGCCAGAAAATCCAATACAACCGAGATCGGTGCCGAAGTGGGGTCTAACCCGCGGGATTTAGAGAAGGAGAAAAATCTGGACCATTTATACAGGTAAGAGCGTTTAGTAGAAGGCCTATGGGCCGCCTCAAGAATTCTGAGCACTGTGCCAGGCAGGTCTGAGAAAGAGCTTATGTGGCGGGGAGGATTCGCCACGCCGTGAGCTTCAGTCTGTGTACCTCTGGGTACAGTACTTGGTCCTGTTGGCATGTCAGCAGGTCGGGTCTGGAGGGAAGCCGTACGAAGATTCCCCGTGCGAGATGGCGGAGAGGGGAGAACCATGGCTGCCTCGGCCACCATGGTGTTATTAAGATGCAACAAGTGACGTCCCTCTGAATCTTTGCTACCGTGCGGAGCAACAGAGGGAAGGGGGGAAAGGCGTAAGTCGTCCATCCTGTCCAGGTGTGCAGGAAGGCGTCCCCCAGGCATCCCTTCTCTATGGAGGCGTGGGCCCTCGCGCAGAAGAGGGGGCACTTGGCGTTGGACCTCGACGCAAACAGGTCGATGTTCGGGGTCCCCCAAGCTCGGAAGAGTCTGTGAACCTCCTCCCGGTTCAGGGACCACTCGTGGTGTGCCAACGGGTTGCGACTGAGGGAATCCGCTAGTATGTTTTGTTCCCCAGGTACATGCGTTGATAAAAGGTGAATCCCCCTGTCTATACACCACTCCCAGATCTGAGTGGACAACATCAGTAAGTTCGGGGAATGGGTGCCGCCCTGCTTGTTCAGGTAGTACATTACCGTTGTATTGTCGGTAAGCACCTGCACCACCTGGCCTGTGACCACCCTTTCGAAAGACTTTAGAGCTCTGTCGACGGCCATGAGCTCCAGAACATTTATGTGAAGCTCGCTTTCGTGGCCTGCCCACATGCCGTGAGCCACCAAACCCTGAGAATGTGCACCCCACCCCGTTAGGGAGGAATCCGTTGTAACAGTTCTCGTAACAGGGGGGATATGGAAGGACAGGCCCGAGCAAGCCCAAGCAGGGTCCAACCAGCATCGGAGTGATGAACGGACCCAGGGAGGGGGTGATAGTTTGGTCGACGGACTGTCCAGCAAAGGATTGAAGACGGACAGGAACCAGGACTGAAGCGGGCGCATGCGAAGCCTGGCATACAGGATGGCTGATGTAGTTGATGCCATGTGTCCGAGTAAGACTTGTAGTTGTCTGGCTGTCACGTGGGGCTCGACCAGAACTTGTTCGACCAGATCTGCGATGGTGGCGAAGCGTTCTTCCGGAAGGTAGGCCTTCTCGTGGACCGAGTCTAGGAGCACTCCGATGAATCGGATCTGTTGCGTCGGCACCAGGACGGACTTCTCTCGGTTGAGGACCAGACCTAGGGACTGGAGGAGAGACAAGACCATAGAAATATGCGTTTGGAGTTTATGGTAAGTATCTGCCACAATGAGCCAGTCGTCAATATAGGGGTAGACCGTGATTCCCCTGGTCCTAAGGTGGGCCATCACCACGGCCATACATTTGGTGAAGACCCTCGGGGCAGTAGAAAGACCAAACGGGAGGACATTAAAGCAGTAAGACTGGCCATCTATCCTGAAGGACAGAAACCTTCGGTGGTGTGGGGCAATAGAAATATGGAAATACGCGTCTTTGAGGTCGACAGTGGCGAACCAGGCGCGTTTAGGAAGGAGCGGGGTTATAGAAGCAAGAGTCACCATTCAAAACCTTTTCGGTTTAATGTGTTTATTGAGCTCTCGCAAGTCCAGAATGGGACGCAGCCCACCACCTTTTTTAATCACCAGGAAATAGTGAGAGTAAACACAGAAGGGAGCAGAAATGGGGTCAACAACGGAAACAGCCCCTTTGTCTAATAACATTTGAATTTCTTGCATGAGCTGCATGGAGGATGGGGTGTCCCGAAACAAACCAACCCTGGGTGTATCATCGAACTCGATGCAGTAACCTCCCAAAATAATAGACAATACCCAACGATCTGAAGTAATCCTTTCCCACTCAGAATAGAAGCCTGAGAGACGGTCAGTGAAATCGGGCAACGGCCCTGAAGGACTCTCCTGAACCTCAACATTTAAATAGAGGGGGAAGGGTATTTTGGGCTGCGGGGCCGTGAAGGGACCTTCAACTGGGGTTGTGCCCGGCCCTGGGTTGGGTAGAGGGGCATCAAAGACGCTTCTTTGAGGCGCCAGGAGTTTTGGGTTTCCCCTGAAAAGGTTGCGCCCTAGGTTTCTGGGAGTAGGGGGTTCGCCTCGCCCCCTGGAACCTAGGCTGGCTCCCAAACCTACCCCTGAAGGGCGTAGAATAAGAATTGCCAAATGATCTCCGGTAGGAGGGGGTACTCGATTGCCACCTGCCCTTTTGCTGGGGGTATGGTTGCCATGTGTATCCGAACTTAGATGCGGACTGCCTCACATCTTGTTTTTGTTTAAGCCGGTCATCTGTGTTGGGGTTAAATAGCCCCTCTTCGTGGGAGGGAAGGTCCTCGGCGAGGGCCTTCCCCTCCTCCGAGAGGTTGGCGGCTCGCAGCCAAGCGTGCCGCCTGATGGAGGTGGCGGTGGCGAATAAGTTGCCAGAAGCCTCCGCCATATGCTTCGCGAAGTCCTTCTGGAGCTTCGCGAGGGCTAGGGCTTCGGTTTGTAGGGATCTAGGGAAACGCTGGTCATCGGGTGGCAAAACCTCAATGTAGGGTAACAACTGGTTCCAGAGAAGGGTCTGGTAACCTGACATATAGGTCGCGTAGTGGGCCATTCGCGTGAAAAGGCCCGCGGAAAGATAGGCTTTCTTTCCCAGTGTATCCAGCTTCCTGCCCTCCCTGTCCGGGGGGGCAGTCTGAGAGGGCTTAGAGCGTTTAGATTTGGACACCTCGGCCACCACCGTGTTGGCCTTGGGAGGTGCTAGGACCCATTTGGCGGAGGACATATCTATTTTGTACATAGAGTCTAGGCGTCTGGGTACAGCCAGTACCGACGAAGGGGGCATGTCAATTATTTTGGCCAACTTGAGTAAGTATGGGAGGTGGGGGAGGGTGGAGGATACAACCACGTTTTGTTCCTCCGAAGGGAACATTGGGTCCTCCACGTGCTCCGGGGGTTTCGGAGCGGAGATCTCTAAGGCCTTGATCATTCGTTCTACCAAAGCAGCAAATTTATTATAGTCAGCAGGCAAGACAGTGTCCTCACCCCCCAACGGCTGAGGGGCCTCAGGCGGCTCAGCGTCCGAATCAGAGTCCGGTGGTTCCCCGTCGTCGCGTGTCGCTGGGCCAGGCAGGTCCGTGCTAGAAACCATCAAGGGGGTGGTAGCAGTCTGCGGTGCGGACGAAGGTGAGGCTGAAAGCACGGGAGGCCGGCACGGGCTGGGTTGGGTCAGGGTCAGCGCGCCAGCAGAGCTGGAGCAGTCCTGTGTTCCCAAGTCTGCACTGCGTGGTTCTGCAGAGGGCGTGGTAGCCACGGTCGGGGTTGGGTTGGAACACAAGGTCCCACTTGAAGGAGCGGGGACGGACGCTGATGTGGTGACGACATCCATAGCTGGCATAGAAGCCGCTGGCCTGCCGGGAGTTGGGGCGGCCATCCCGGTCATCAGTGCCGCCGGGGAGGAGGGGGCATCGCAAGCTGAGGAGGCATGGGCACGTAAACGAGCTGCCCTGTTGGGCCCAGCTGCCAGCATCCCGGCGGTGGCACATGGGCCGGTGCGTAGGCTCCTCGGCGGCAGGAGGAGGAACGCGAAAATCTTGATGTGTGCCGGCGTCTCCTGCGCGGAGGGGAGGAGGAGGAGGAGGCGAAGGAAGAAGAGGAGGAGGAGGAAGAGGACAAAGATCGCGCCCTGCTCCTCGTATGCGAGCGGTGTCGGCGGCGCCGAGATGCTCCGCTCCTCCGAGAAGGAGATCGGGAGCGTCGTCTGCGCCTGCTGGAATGGCGCGCGGACCGGCCCGATCTGCCCGACCTCGACTGGGGCGAGGGAGGATCGGCAGGCGGAGGCAGCATGGCGAGGACGTGGCTCCCTGCGGGCATCACAAAGCCCCCCGCCGGCATCGCAGCCATCTGTTGAGCAGTCGGGCTCATCCCAGTCAGCGTCGGGATGCACGGGCCCTGGGTGGGCGGGGCTTCAGCAGCCGCATGCTGAATGGGCGGAGTGTCCCTGCCGGCTTCCTGCGGGGGCGGAGCCTGTGGTTGTTCCGAGCCCGCCGCCAGGTTTCTCGAGCTCTGGGTCCCAGCCGGGATCGGAGATACACACGGGCCCGGAGATAGCGTCGTAGGCATCAGTGGCGTACCTCCCAATGCCGGAGGAGGAGCAGATTCAGGGGGCAGGAGCGAGGGCATCGGTGAGAGCGACGCATCTTCTATCCCCTGAGTAGCGGGTGGCGCCGCAGCGGGGGAGGCTGCACTGGCGTCAATGGTCGGCAGAGGTCGTGGGAGACAGTCCAGGATTCTCCCAGAATGGGAGGGAGGAGCGGAGATCTTGTCCGCGGTTCCCGCTCTTTTGGTAGCCGTTTTCTTCGGCAGAACAGATCGGCGGCCATCTTGAATGCCCTTCTCTTTGGACTTTTTGGCCTTCTTTTTGGCCAGGGGATCGTCCCGAAACGAAAAAGAAGGTAAGTTAGGGCCGCGAGAGGGTCCAGCCTGCCCCGAGGGAGGCGGAGGGAGGAGGGCTTTTTCATACAAGGCGGCCTTGAGTCTTACTTCTCTGTTCTTTCTGGTTTGGGTGGTGAAAGCCAGGCAAACCGCACAAGATTGGGCAAGATGACCCTCGCCCAGGCAGGCCAGGCAGAGGGAATGGCCATCCGTGTCTGGGAAGGTATTGGGGCATGAAGGGTTAGAACACCTCTTAAAGGAGGTAGTAGACATGGCGAAACGTCGAAGAAAAAACGGGTCGGGTCGGGGGTTGGAGAGGTCAGAGTAGTCAGGCAGTCCGAGTCAAAAGCCGGTAGGAAAACAGCCAGTCCAAATCGCCAATCAATACCTTCGTCAAACAAGCTAGGCCAAATTCGTCAGGAGGTAAATCAGTCCGATAGAAGGAGTCAAGGAAAATCGTAAGAGAAAAAACAAGGGTTCCCAAGCTAACCGCGAGCGGAAAAGAGAACTGACGGCTGGCCCCTCCCACGGGCTACTTATACTCGGGGAGAGGTGGGTGGGGCCAGCTAGGAGTCAAGTGTTTTTTTCTTCTTTCTAGAAGGTTCCGAAAGCTATTGCGCAAGCGCTGAGATATCATATGTGCGATTCACAGGGACTACGACAGGAAAGTAGCACAATTAAAAAGGGGCAATATACTAGCAAGATTGCTCTGTTTTTGGAAATTAAACAAAACATGTGGTACTCATTCCACATATTCTCTTAGGGCAAATTCCAAATACAAAGAAAGTTACAGTATGATGTTCTCTAAATTGCAAGAAAAAAAGACGGAAAAAGGGAGAGAATGCCTTGGAAGCATTTGAAGTAACAACATTATCTGCTTCACATGAATTCTTCTGGTTACAAGCAACTAACTATACACATGCTTCATTCTAGTGTTCATCCCAACTAAAGCACATCCACTAAAATCAGTGGGTCATCCCAACTGATAGGTCTACTTTAGTTGGAATTATTTACAACACTCAGGCCATTGTTTTTAAAAATCAACACAACAGAAGTTAAGAGCAGGATTTTTTCAGTGTAACATTTACTCGTCTCTTAAAATGTTGTTTGGTGGTGTTTTTAAGTGTTTGTTTGAGAAACAATAAAGGACAATTCAAAAGGCAACAACAAGCAAACCTAATGAGTTACTTTGAAACAGTATTGAGGACTGTATGTGTGAGTATGCCTTCAAGCTGCCTGTGAGTTTATGGCAACCGCAGTCATTTTATATTGTTTTCTTAGGCAAGTTTTGTCTCATCCTTCCTCAAAAATATAGCATTTGGTATTTGTTGGTGATCTCCCATACAAGTGTCAACCAGACCTAACCTTGCTTAGGTTCCAAGATCAGAGGGGATCTTGTGCCTTTAGAGTATTTAGGCCAGACTGAGGAATTGACTACTTTAAAATAATACTTGGAGCTCTGAAAGAGAAAGAAGAGGAAACAGCTGTGGAGAATTGATTTTTAAAAGGCTCGTGAGACACTTGGAAGAGTTACCTGGAAAATCTGGATTGTCTGGGAGGTAGTACTCAGTAAACTCTATATGAATGGCAGAGGTTTCGTCTGGAAGATTCAGTGATTTTCTCCTACATGAAAGCAGTGTTGAAGGCTTCTTACTATGCTGTCCAGCAGTGGAGACCTGAAAAATGTTGGTATACACTCAGAGTAAAGAACATGGCCATCTAAACATAGGAAACTTGAGGTTTTGAGGGAAGGGGGGTTGGGCTTATGCTATTGATGCAGTTCCCAAGTTACAAACAAGATAGGTTATGTAGGTTTCTTCTTAAGCTGAATTTGTTTATAAGCCAGAACAGGTACATTTTAAAGTGCAACTCCAGCCAAATGCATATATATGTTTCAGCTTTCAATAGCATAGGGAAGGGTTAACACCCCTTTGGTGTTTGTTTTGCTGTCTGTGCTCCTGTTCAGAAGATTTCACCACACATTCTGTACCTGTAATAATTGGATTTTTAGAAATTTGGCTTGTTGTGGAAGCAAGGATTGATGAGAAAGCTTCAGTGGAGACACTTTTTCCCCATGATAACTTTTTCAGGAATGAATTTCCCTTCCGAGGTCAAGATTTATCTCACTTCCTGTTGTTTCACCCCCATTTGTAACTATGAAGGTTTTTTTTGTAAGTCTGATGTTTGTATTCAGTTTATGATTTAAAGATATGTGTAAAACAGAAAGCACTTAAGAGTCAAGATGAAATCTGATTATGGCTACTACATTACTACATTCAAATGATACTTTCTTAGTCTCTTATTGTTGCCTAATTTTGGAGGGGGGTGCAAATTGGAATATATAACAAAAAGGCAGCAAAATGGAATGAAAAACACCGAGAGACCTATTTTAATCCATAAAAATTGTGCTAAGGTCAAATTTAAATCTGTATGATAAACAAAGAATATATTGTGCTTTTATAAAGCAGTAATACATGAGTTGGTCTTTATCTATTGGTTTTCATTGAAGGCAGAATAAGACAATAATGTAGCAACAAGTACCTATAAATAACAAGAGAGATAGAGTTTCCTCTTGTAATAAATGTGTGTGCTGAGGGTTTGGCCAACATGCTTGACTTTAACAGTATTTTCAATGAATAACAGTGGAGATAGGGTGTGGGCAGTAAGAATTGTCAGAATTTTTGTAACATACTATCATTTCTAAAGTGACAATAAGTATAAGGATCAGGACCATCCCAGCATCAAGCATTAAGAGCTTAACCACATGGCTAGCATTGAGTAATTTACAGCCAGGGTGGGGTAGCTGAAAGAGTAATAAAGAAGAGCAAACTGTGAGTAGGGGAGGTGTTGGTTGTGCTGTTGGTAGTGTTGTTGTGGTGGTGAGCTACTGTTGCCAGAGTGTTGAGCTGCTGGGAATGAAAATACAGAGAAGCTGAAGGATTAAGCTGAAGACCAGAGAGAAGAGCTAATACTGTGAAGGTATGAACTGACTGGGAGTGTAAAGTGTTAGAAGGAAGAAATGAAGAGAGTCAAGAACGTCTGCTAGACTGTTGTAAATACTATAGTGTAACGTTTTCTACAAAAGATACAAGTAGTGCTTGTCTGCTCCTTAACTGAAGGAGTGCTTCTGCTGAAGAAGAGGGTTGGCTTGTTGCAAAGAATCCCAGCCAATTTTCTGCAACAAGAATTGTCCAAGTGATACTCAGTTCCACTCTACAGCTCTCATACTTTACCTGATGAATATCCAGATCATCTACTCGGAGAACTAGACAACTGGATCGAAGTCTTTTCCACGCAGGGCGTTGGAGTCCAAACAGGAAAGGAGGTGGTTTACTGGCCGTAGGAATCCCTTTCTCTGGGGAACTTTTTTGAGAACTAGATGGAGTGTCTTAAAAATATTTTTCATCGTCAACCAAGGAAATATAAACTTCTCTGCTAATTTCAGACAAATATAAACACAAAGAATATTACCCCCCCCCCCCCCCCCCCCCCCCCCCCCCCCCCCCCCCCACACACACACACACCAAAAATAGATCAGCACTCTGGCTTTTTCCTTTTACACACAATATGAATGATATGAAACACTGGATGGAGGAAATGTAGTACTTTTGTTCTTGGACCCCCTGCCCCTACTCAAAAACTGTGTTAGAAAATTCAATTGCAAATAATCACAAATTTTGGCTAAGGTTATTGCTTCCCAGCTTCCACTAACCTAGCTCCTGCTATGCATCAAGAATGGGAATTGAAGAAAGCAGGAACAGCCTGAAAGATGCAGCAAGACCCTTTTTTTTAAGTTTTGGCCTGGCTGAGGTATGAAGGGCGCTATTTAGATTCTATTTAAGGCAGGAAAAAGCCATAGGCAAACATCTTCTATTTTCAACACATGCCAGAAGATTCAGAGAAGAGACGGAGTTTTGCTTTCATTTTCCACTGAGTTCTGTAGAAGGAAAAATGTGGGAAACCCGATAACACTTTCTCTGTTATCTGATTAGTCTGATTACAATGCTTGTCTTACACTTCCAGCAGTGTTAAGTGTGAGTGACTGCCAGCAACTGTCTCAGTCAAAGCAAAAGTTCACTAATGCTGTATATGGCACACTGGAAAAAACAAAAATATTCTTGGGGGCAGCAGCAACCAACTTTCCAAAAACTAGCGTAATTGCAACCTAGATGCTGCTAATGCTTCCAAGATCAGACACAGTGGAAAAAACAGTGCTGTGTAGTACTCCATAGAGAGAGAAAACTAATACTAATGGCAGTTTGCCATTGAAAATTCCTCACTTCATGTTATCACTTGTATTACCTTCTATCAGGTTGACCCGATAATACATTTCCCCTCACTTCTGTTTGATAATTACAGAGGAAGCAGGAAGAAATGCTGCTGACCGGACAAATGGCTTTATCAAGTCATAATCCACATCACCCTTCAATCTACAGCTGCAGAAAATGAACAGTTCCAACAACACTGCAATGTGATGCATTCACCAGTGTCAGTCTAAGATATAGGCACTGCTCTGATGTTCAAATTCAAAAAGTATCAGAGCCATTTCTGTTGGCACTCTGGAACACGGAAAAAACTACTTTGTGTAGCCTATGACATGGTGCTTTGTAGGGCTGACAGAAGATGATCTGCAACCTGAAGTAGAGCAGGAAAGAGTGCTCCTCATTCACCATATCAAGGCTCATATTATCTAACCAGCTAATTTACTATGGGAAATGAAACAGAAAATCATTTCCCCATCAACAGCAAAAATACAGCAGTGGCAAATTAAATACTAACAATTTGCTAATCTTTGATGTCTAAAATTTGTTTGTGAGCTATGCCTCACTCTATCTAACAGCAAGGCCTGGGATTTTGAAAATTGTAAGCCATACAATACAGACACTCAGATAAAAACCCAGATGCAATAAGGGGCTTATGTGTTCAACGTTTCTATATTAAATTATTAATGCAATTGTGCAATATATTTATGTGTTACCTGTTTTCATTTTGAAAGGAGATTCCCTTGCAGCAGTTTTAGAGGTGCAAAAGCTTATTTCTTCTCCATATTTCTCCATCTTGTTTTGGAATTCCTCCACCAGCTTTTTTGCCCACTTCTCCCGGGACTCCATGGCATTACAATAGCGTACCCAGTGTTTGCAGCTATCTCCTGAAAAAAAAAAAAAAGATTAACACTGGTAAGAGCTATTTGTCTCTGTGATCTATTTTTATAACGTTCTCCTCGAATTTGTTTCCCCTTTCTCAAAAAAAGAAGAAAGAAAAGAAAAGAAAAATAATAATAAGACTTGGCTTAAGGCTTGGTGAATGGCACAGCTAATTTCAGACAAAATTTGCATACGACATTCATCTTCCGGAGCTGCATATCTCCTAGCTGAACAAATCTTCACATCTGTGTTTCAAAACATTGTTTTACATCTTATATCTCTGTTCATCTTAAATTGTTGAAGTACAGGGTGATAGTAACGTTACTACTACGGGTATTTATTTATTTATTTAGTACACTTGTATACCGCTAATATCTCAGCCTAAAACGGCGACTCATTGCGATTTACAATATTAAAAACAACAATATTCCGATAAAAATATAAAACACTTACATATACAATACACAGTATTGGGCCACCAATACAGACCAATGCATCTCTTAACTTAAATCATAATCCAATTTCGTTGTCTGTGATTACCAGTCCTTGATCAAAACTTCATCGCATCGGATTAGCCGAATGCTTGCTCAAACATCCATGTTTTCAGTTTTTTTCGAAATGCCATCAGCGAGGAGGCTGATCTTATCTCTATAGGGAGGGCATTCCAAATAAATAAATAAATAAATAAATACTACTACGGGTAGAAGGGAGAAGAGGGCTGCGCAGGTGTGGGAGGAGGAGCAGCAGCGAAAGCGGATTAGAGACATATTCATGGCTCCAACTGATTCTGAATCCTTCGAGGGTTTCTCTGACTGTGAAATAGGGGAAGGAGAGGAAAGCAGGGGAGTTAAGCGGGCTACTCGTGAACAAGATGAAGAGGTTCAAAGGAAGCGTATCTGTGATATACTTAGTGCTCCAACAAAAGATGAAGATTTTATGGGTTTTGAAGGGAGTGATGGGACTGGGAGTGACATTGAGGAGGAGGATGATTTGGACTGGACCCATGTTCAGGAAATAAGCGATATCTGTACTCAGCCTACCTCCAGTGATGACTTTGAGGGGTTTGCAGAAGAGTGGCAATCGGGGAACACTTAGGAGGACCTAAGTCTTGACAGACGCTGACAAAGGTGGGAGGCAGTGTTCAGCTGCAGGGAATGGGGCAGCTGAAAGTGATGATGAAAGGGTGGGGAGCAGTTCATCCTCTGATGAGGAGCTTTAGGATATAAGTTGGTTTGGTTTCAATGGGTCTTTGCAGAAGGCAAAGTGTTTTTTCGGGTGTGTATCTTTGTCCCTGCCATTACTCTCGAGCTTGGGTCCTTGGACTACAGATCTTCGTGTTTCCGTGACTTCTGGCTGATACTTCGTAAGTGCTGACTACAACTCCCCCTGTTTGACTTCGGACTATGTTTTGACAACGACTATGCTTTTTGGACTGCTTCTTCTAACTTCGAACGTGCCTGGACTACGGACTGACTTTGTACTCTGATTTTGCTTGCTCCTACGTTGTTTTTTGGTGCCTTCTGGACATTCTGAATTACAAGCAGTTTGCTGTATATTTTTGTTATCCCAGATTATACTCCGGGATAATCCGGATTATATTTAAATTGAGTTTTTCACGTAGTGGTTGCTATAGACTTTTAGTTTGTGCTAGAGACACTGAAGCAAGTGTCTCTAAAGCCTTTTTGTGTTTAATAAACCTGTGTTTGGACCTTTTATATTGTGTTTGGCGTTCTTGAGGCTTCTGGGTCTTGACATAAATACTGTCTGCACAACAAATGTACTTGCTATTAAATGGCTGTGCTGCACTCCTATTGTGAGCAATGAGGCTATAGTGCTGTAAATATGCTATATTCTCTTCTATAGTATTATAAAAGCTATGCATGATGGTAGTCAAGATCAAACAATGGTTTGTTCAGTATAAAGCTCAGTCAACTGCTAGTTTGTGCCCAGGAAAAAATTCAGTCACATTATTGACGCTGGACTTAGCGCGGACACCCGATCGGCATAGCTATTGGATATACAAAGAAAATATCATCCTCCAGACATCTAAGAGTATGCTTTTTATTTAATTGCAGAAATGCACCAACTTGCTACCCAAGATTCCTCTAGTCTATGTACACTAAACTGCTAGCAAGTAGGCTCACCATCATCTGACAGGTTGACTATACATGTGTGAGGGCCACTAAGTAAAAGCAATATTGAACAATTCCTTCTGCAGTGATCTTAAAAAATATATATAGACATGCATAACAGGAGTTCATCAACATAATTCAATGTCTACTTAGTGGTTACTGTCACCTATTAAAATCAACATTTTTCCATTTTAATTTTTATTACACTTGGTGTGTCTACATTCCAGTTAGTCTAAGCAATGGACTATGCATGCAGGGTTGTTTATTTTAATTAACAATTTCAAACAGAAAGACTATCAGTTTCCCCGTATCTCATCTGTGCTGATTTATTCCACTCTGTAACTAGTCAATTCAAAGGGTGAAAAATATGGTCGATACTGGAGCAGGGTTTTCTGAATTGTTTCACTAAAAATAAGCTAAGTTAGTATACATTTTAATAATTAGAATTCTCATTCTTAATAAGAGCAAATTGCTTTTACCTGCCCAATGGAATGGATAATAGTCAAATGCCATTCTCCTAAAAGTTAATTGCATTGCACCTCCTGTTATTCCATGTTTAGAAGCACCTATGACAAAATGGAAAAAGAATGATGACATATGGCTGTTGTACTTACTTTTATATATATAAAAGTTAGATCTGAGCTGCATTGTAAACTTTCAGTATTACTGAATTCAGCATTTGTAATAACTGAGTAATAGTAATAGTAGTCCAGTGCCTTCAAATCATTTATGATCTATGGTGCCCCTAAGGCAAACTTTCACAGTGTTTTCTTGGTGAGATCTGCCTTTGCCTTTCTCTGAGGCTGAGAAAGTGGGACTTTCCCAAGGTCACCAGGGGGTCTCCATGACCGAATGGAGATTTGAATCCTGGTCCCCAGAATCCTAGTTCAACTCCCAGAACACTATGCTGTGCTGGCTCTCATAAATTCAAGAGAGGATGCCCAATTGCAGTGGAATAGCATTCCACTTCACGCTTCAGAGAAAAGGGTATTGAACAAAAGTAATCCTGCCCATTAATCCTTGGAATCCTGTTTAGCAGGGGTCCTCAAACTAAGGCTCGGGGGCCGGATGCGGCCCTCCAAGGTCATTTACCCGGCTCTCGCTCAGGGCCAACCTAAGTCTGTAATGACTTGAAAGCACACAACAAAAACAACAACAATCCTATCTCATCAATCAAAAGCAGGCCCACACTTCCCATTGAAATACTAATAAATTTATATTTGTTAAAATTGTTCTTCATTTTAATGATTGTATTGTTTTTAAGTGGTTTTTGCACTACAAATAAGATATGTGCAGTGTGCATAGGAATTCATTCATTTTTTTAAAAATTATAATCCAGCCCTCCAACAGTTTGAGGGACTGTGACCTGGCCCTCTGTTTAAAATGTTTGTGGACTCCTGCTGTTTAGATTCTGGATGCTTTCAAATGAGTGACTCCTAATGTAACTCATCTGAATGGTCTATTTAAAGTAATAATAATAATACCAGGAGAATTAAAAAAAAGAAAAACAAAACAAAACAAAAACCCTTAGTATCAAAGTAATTGATCATTTAAGTATGACTTCTTTATTACTGGCCATGGAGTAAGAAAAAGTAAAAATATTTTGGTTTGGAACAACTTAAATTAGATCAAAAGACATCACTAAACTGTCTTCATTTATATTCACCAGATCTTTGCCAATTCACGAAAGGCCATACTCCTATAATCGTTTAGAATATAGACCCACCACCCAGCAAGAAGTTTGTTCCATAGGTGCTTACAGGAACAATGGTCTTGCTCTCTCACCAGTTGTGTTTTAAGCAAAGCCTTTCTCTTGGACACCATAAAATCAGATATGAAAGCAAGCTCTAAAACTGGTTTAATGTTATTTGAACTATGTGTTTCCTTAAACAATAGCAGGAAGTGTGTCAGTGCTAATTAAAGTATCAAAAGTTAAACAAGCAGTGATAATACAGAATCAAACTAAAGGTAATACTCAAGGTTCATTTGCCCAAAGCACTCAAATCCTGGCCCTTAAAAAGACTGCAGTCTTCACTTGTGGAGACTGCAGTACTCTTCCATTAGATATCACACTTTCAGTAGTCTAAGGGAAAAATACAAGCTGAGTGGAAAACACAGAATGATAGTGATCAGCTGTTATTGTTAAGTTAATGCTCTCTTGGGTAACTATTCCATATATAGGCACAGCGTGGAAGTAGCCTTGGTTTTGTCATCTTAATTATAAATAAGCATACAATTGATAATGGCAGGAAATACTTTCTACTTGCAACTTCAAACAATGGTAACTAATAAGATTTGCATTTTGTATTTTAAAATATTTGTAGTCTCTTCCCTCACTTTCTGTCCAAAATAGTAAACATCAAGTGACTCACTAATATAATTATATGTATTAAAATACTGAACATATAATAAAACTGTAAATCAGTTGCTGATTTACATAATTTTAAAAAGAATGACAGTGATGTTGTCGAAGGCTTTCATGGCTGGAATCACTGGGTTGCTGTTTTCCAGATTGTGGGGCCATGTTTCAGAAGCATTCTCTCCTGACTTTTCATTCACATCTATGACCATCATCCTCAGAAATCTACAGAGAAACCACAAACACAGTGCCTAAACATGAATCAAAGAACATGAAAGGCACTGCAGACTAATTCAATCAGAGAAGTCAGCTATAGCAGAACACTTGATGAAACAACCTGGACACAGCATATTATTTGAGAACACAGAAATGCTGGATCACTCTAAAAACTACCATGTCAAACTACACAGAGAAGCCATTGAAATCCACAAGCATATGGACAATTTCAAAAGAAAGGAAGAAAACAGGAAAATGAACAAAATCTGGCTACTAGTATTAAAAAACCCTCTAAAATCAGGACAGTAAATAAAAAACAACACTTAAAAACAAGGGAATTCTAGACAAGAAACAATCAGGGCCAGCTAATCACATCCCAACAAAGGATTCCCCCAGGCAGAAAACAGCCAAGCCTTGAAGCTGCAAGGCTATTCAATGCCAATCAAGGTGATCAGCTGCAACATTCACACTTGCCTCAAACAGACAAGAGTTCTTTCACCTACCCTGGACATTTCACAGATATATAAACACCACTTGCCTAGTTTCCAACAGACCTCACAACCTCTGAGGAGGCCTGCCATAGATGTGGGTGAAAGGTCAGGAGAGAATGCTTCTGGAACATGGTCTACTTGGTGTAGACTCACAGCAACCTAATGACAATGATATCAAAAATGATATCAATTATTTTACTATTCAAAAATCAGATGATGATGAAGACCTGGAAGAACAGCTGTGAAGGCACTAGATAATATCATCAAGAGGTCTATCACTAATACTGAAGACAGAATCATCCATACCATAGTAGTAGTAGTAGTAATAACAACAACAACAACCACCACCACTTCTCCTTGCACCTCAGGGTTGGGTACTTTCTTTGTATGATCGTGGAAAATAGATAGTGAAGAAAGGTGACAAAAAGAGAATCAACTCATTTGAGATGAGTTGCTGGAGGACAATACTTTGAAGGTCATGGACTGCCAAAAACCTGAAAGAATGGGCCCAAGAGCAAATTAAGACTGAATGCTCCCTTTAAGGTAAAATAATTAAACGGAGGTTGTTGCAATTTGTACGTATCATAACACAGCATGGCTCACTGAAAACAACAATGATCCTTGGTAAAACGGAAATCAGTATGAAAAAAAGGAAGACCACAATACAGTGAGATAGATTCAATCAACTAAACTACGTCCTAGAACAGGCCGCTTAGAAGTCTCTCATTCACAGGGTAATCATAAGTTGAAGACAACTTGACAATAACAGTAATAACAAATAACATCAATACCTTTCCAGGAGAAGTATGAAGATTTAAGTATCTAAAATACTTGCCTAAATAGGAAAAGTCTTCACCTGAAATGAGGACAAAGAAGTCTGATAATCACCTTAAATCTTTGGTATGTTTTATTTTATACTGTTAAATGTTTCTTCAGAGCAAAAAGCAATTCTCTAACTGGGTGAGGAACCATAACATGTAGATGTCACAATAAAGAATGGGGGTGGTCCTTTCAAAAGAAAGAATGCTGTATTATTGTATTTTTATATTGTCTTCTAGGCACCCTGGGAAATCTCTCCAAAGGACCTAAGACATATTCCGGTATTTGAAGACCCCCCACTTATCCTAGGTTAGTATCTTATACACTCTAATGGGATGAAAAGGGGATGTACTAATTTTGAAACACACACGTATCTATAAGTAATGAAATTTTAAAAAAACAAAACAAAAAAAAACCACAAAAAACCCCAAAGATACCAAATTGGGACAAGGTTCAAGAAACAGAAAGAGAACTAAATAGCTCTGTTAGAGATAGTATGTTGACAATGTATTGAGGAGAAAGTAAAAGTAACAATAGCAAACACTGCAAATGAAGTACATTCACAGAGGAATACAATTATTAGAAACGAGAATCAGCAGGAAAAAGCCTTTAACAGTCAAGCAGTTTCCCAAGATAGCAAAACCACATTCATTTCAGGTATTTCAACACAAGGAGAGAAATGTCACCAGAAAACAAAAGAAGTTGGGTGACAGGAAAGAAAAAAGACAAAAACATCTGAAATAATAGGTTCTTGTGGGTTTTTTCGGGCTTTAGAGCCATGTTCTAGAGGCATTTCTCCTGACGTTTCGCCTGCATCTATGGCAAGCATCCTCAGAGGTTGAGAAGGTCTGTTGGAAGTAGGAAAAATGGGTTTATATATCTGTGGAATGGCTGGGGTGGGGCAAGGAGCTCTTCCCTGCTGCAGTTAGGTGTGAATGTGTGAATCTGAAATAATAGTTTCTGAAAAACAATTTGGTTTTTCAACATACCTGTTTCTCGAGTGTGACTATCATCACAGATGTGAAGATCCAGACGGGAGATGAGAAGGTGATAGGAAGACTCTTTCATATCATGTTTTTCAAAATACTGGCTGATTGCTTTATGGCTACTCCCAAATGACTGAGGCCAGGATTGTTGGGCACTGGGAGCAGGAGGTGTAATCTACAACAGAGAGAAATTTAGGCTAAATATATCCATTCTAAAACAAAGGAATCATGGTTTTATATTTTATATGCATAACAGAACAAATCATATTAGGAGATCATAAATGGTATTCTGCAGGACTAGTAAGGAAAATTGGGAGTTTGGGTAACATTAATACATTGTAATGTTTCATATCCAAATCACACAATGAACTTGTCAGACTGGAAATTTGGGATTCTGTGTATTTACTGTATCAACATGTGTAATGTACATCTTGATTTGCAATATGGAAAATATGACTAATGCAATTCACTCATTTTGGAAAAACATGCTTGAGATTTAACAGCTGAAGCACACTGGATAAGAACCAAAGAAACATGACTGAGAGGAAAATAGCTGCCTGCACGATTCTTTAAACACTTCTCGGAGAACTCCAATAAAGTTGTTGTAGGTTGTCAGTTTGAAAGATATTATTGAAAACAAAACTCTGTCCTATTAATAGCAGAGTGTCTACACAATCTTGGCATTAATTGAATGTGTAATAAACATCATTAAAAAGTATACAAATTAAGGAGTGATTTAAATAGAGAAACAAGAAATTATGCCAGAAATCAATACAATGAAACAGAGGTAGGATAATATTTTATATATGAAACATCATTTAGAGGAGTACAAATAAAGAAAGAACCATGATTATGGAGAAATAAATTTGTCAAAGAGCAGTCTATTTCATGTATGCTTTTCCTAAGGCAGCAAAACTTCTGAAGTGATCAAAGATGTATAATGTGATGGCAGGTTTTGGGGCCAAAATTATGGATTTGTGTATGACCTGTGGATAAGCTGAGAGTTATTTCATGGAGAGGAGAAAGCAACAGCAGCATCCTAGGGGTCAGCTACCCCTGAATGCTGCCACTATTTTCCCATCCAGGCATTCAAAAAGGCCAGTGCTTCTTTTGGGCTCACCTGTACCAGACGAAGCTCTCATCTTTTGCTAGTACTCAGAAAAGGGAATGGCTCCTTTTTTGGATAAAATTTAAGTTATAGTAGTTACACTGAACCTGTGGATGTCAGCCCAGTTTTGGGGGGTCAATTTTTTAAATAAAATTTCTAGACATACCTAAGTATATACAGTACCCCTTACATCTAGTATAAACAGCTTTGCTGTTCTTGCTAAGCTGACATTATTGAACACTGTAATAGGAATGGTGAACAAACCACTTACTTGGACAGGTTCAGGAGCCATGCTTTTCCTCTGCTGGGCTGATTTCTTCATGGCTTCACTCAAAGACTCTGCATACTTCATCATTGCCTTCAACTGAGAATCAGTCAGCACCCACAGCAAGTCATCAAGGAGGAACATGAGCTTAGAGGCCACCACATTGCAATCCTTTGTCTATTTCATAAACAAAATTAAGTTAGAACTAATTTATTTCCACTGCTATAGAGAATTACAGATATGATTAAATTGCTCTCTCTCTAGACAACAGATCAAAAATAAAAGAGCAAAGCAATTCCTTTAAGAGATCACATATTTTCTAGATATTTGGTGGGAGTTATATTTTTCTCTATGCAGAGAAGTCATCAGTTACCTCTTTTATCTGAGGGCCCTTCCAGATAAGCCCTATATCCCAGGACCTGATCCTAGGTTTTCTGCTTTAAATAGAATTATATGAGTCCACGCTGCCAGATAATCTGGGATAAACAGAAAACCTGGGATCAGATCCTGGGATACAGGGACTGTCTGGAAGGGCACTGAAGAAGAAAGAAACAAGATACAATGTAAAACTGGATAGTGCTTAAAATGTCTTATGTAGAACACACTGCCTTAAATCCAACTGCTAATCTCAATTACAGTGCATACATGGAATCAATGGGAATTTGGAAAATGAATACTTAGATGAACCCTGGTGATTCAATGGATTTACTACAGTTGGGACTGACATCTGGATTTAGGTCATTGTGCATATTTTTCAACTCCCAATGTTATGGTGACTGTTCTAGATGATAATCAAATTAACCTTTTTTATGAAAGTCAGAATCTGCATAGCTATGACCATGCCAGGTTCCAGAAATGGGTTTGCAGCACAATATATACTGAAACTTTATAAACAAGGTGGTGTTTTTAATAAGCAATCAACAAAACAGAAGTATAAACAAAATGTTGTTGTTGTTGTTGTTCATTCGTTCAGTCGTCTCCGACTCTTCGTGACCTCATGGACCAGCCCACGCCAGAGCTCCCTGTCGGCCGTTAACACCCCCAGCTCCCTCAAGGTCAGTCCAGTCACTTCAAGGATGCCATCCATCCATCTTGCCCTTGGTCGGCCCCTCTTCCTTTTGCCTTCCACTTTCCCCAGCATAATTGTCTTCTCTAGGCTTTCCTGTCTCCTCATGATGTGGCCAAAGTACTTCAGCTTTGTCTCTAGTATCCTTCCCTCCAAGGAGCAGTCGGGCTCTATTTCCTGGAGGATGGACTGGTTGGATCTTCTCGCAGTCCAAGGCACTCTCAGAACTTTCCTCCAACACCACAGCTCAAAAGCATCGATCTTCCTTCGCTCAGTCTTCCCTAAGGTCCAGCTCTCACATCCGTAGGTTACTACAGGGAATACCATGGCTTTGACTAGGCGGATCTTTGTTGCCAGTCTGATGTCTCTACTCTTTACTATTTTATCGAGATTGGACATTGCTCTCCTCCCAAGAAGTAAGCGTCTTCTGATTTCCTGGCCACAGTCTGCATCTGCAGTAATCTTTGCACCTAGAAATACAAAGTCTGTCACGGCCTCCACGGTTTCTCCCTCTATTTTCCAGTTGTCAATCATTCTTGTTGCCATAATCTTGGTTTTTAAAATAAAAACAAAATAAACAAAATAAACAAAATAAACAAAATAAACAAAATAAACAAAATAAAATAAACAAAACAAAAATAAACAAAATAAACAAAATAAACAAAAAAATAAACAAAAAAATAAAAACAAATAAACAAAATAAACAAAATGCTTAGGAAAAATAGATGGTTCAACAAATAAATTAATACTGTTGGCATTGGCCCAAGCAGCTTCTAATCTTGTTCCTCATCCTCTGCTGGAAAGTTAGAGTGAACACCTGATGTTCACCCTAACAGTCCATGAATCCCCCCTAGCTCACTTTTAAGGGAGAATACAGTGAAATGAACATACATGTGGGTGTGCATACACAGAAATAAGAACATTTTCTTTCAAGAGAAAAATGTAATTTTCAATAATTTATTCCAGGTACAGAAGATGGGCTTTCTAGTTGCAGATGATCTAAAGTTATTTCATAAGCTAAGAATTTAATGTCTCTGATTTTTAGCAGATCAAAGTATGCCAGAGTTATACAGGTATTATCAAACACATGAATATTTTGTCCAGCTACACTTTCCAGCAGAGTATATTCACCTTTCTCTTAAGAGATATTTGGATTCTGCCCTGATTTGTAATAAGTCTCAGGGGAGTGGTGATAGGATCTTGATCTCCATTTTCTGTAGCATCGGCCTCTATTCGGAGAGTCTGCCAAGTGAGTTCTTTAAATGTTAGAACCTACCAAGAAGGAAGAGAGGAGAGACACAAAGTCAAAATAAGGAAGTCATACTTAGTTTCTAAGCAGAATATATTCACATCATTTAAATAAAAGACAATACTGAGATTGATACAGGCAGGAGCCACTGAGCATCGATGCTGTGACTCTACAAAAATGTGTATAGTATTTACTCATGATCCCAAATCATCAAAAGCTTGAAAGTCTACAGAGGTGATTGCAATCCTGAGGTCATCTGCATACAGTCTTACCTCTCCCCTGTGTGAATCAGTGATACGGGTAAAGCGCAGATCACTCTGCTGCCAATTGGGGTTGACACTGTATCCTTGAAGCTGCCACAATTCAAAAGAAGCATGGAATGCCTTGGAGTGGATCTTGATGGTGATGGAATTGACAACAATAAACATGCCTTCCACTACCTTTTCAGCAAAGCCATATTCACTGTAGGAAAAAAAGACAGCTTTAAACAGAACAGAAAGATTTAGCTCATCACAACACAAAACATGGCTGAGGGCTGGGCTGGGCTGTAGCACAGCTGGTTAATCACTAGCCGCAATGACCGGAAGGTGGCAAGTTCGAAGTCCTAGTCAGGTTTGAGCTCCCGCCTGTTAATAGCCCAACTTACTGTTCACCTAAGCGATTCGAAAACAGCTGAGCTTTGAGCAGAGAAATTAGGGATCGCTTAAAGCAGGGAGGTTAATTTATGACACCATAAAAATGTTGGAGATCAAAGAGCAAAGAGGAAATAATACGATCAAAAGGCTCGGCATCATAGTGGATAAAGCGACAGCTTGCCCCTGTGGCCGGAACCAAGCAATCTCCAGGAGTCGAAGTTGGAAGAAATTCTGAATTACCTCTGTCTGTATGTCTTGTATGTATAAAAACAGCATTGAATGTTTGCCCTGTATGTGTGTATTGTGATTTGCCCTGAGCCCCTTCGAGGTGAGAAGGGCAGAATATAAATACTGTAAATAGATAGATAGATAGATAGATAGATAGATAGATAGATAGATAGATAGATTGATAGAATAATAGACTAGACCTTGAACCTAGATTTGCATGCTGAAGGTAAGTTCCAAGGTTGTATCTTGAACCATGTTGCAGCATCAAGGACATATTTGATTTCTCCCTAATTATGAATAAATTAAAATTATGAAGGATCGGAATTAGATGTATTCATCAGGCTTTAAATATTTATAAACAATAATTATTTGATGCTTCAGCAGTAACTAGAGGTGAGCATATTTTTCTGTGTGTGTAGTATTAAACCTCTTTAGAGACATAGCACATTGAACAAGATAGTGTCATAAAATTTTAGGGTCGGAAAGGGCAAGATGGTTAAAATATACAGAATGTTCTACACTTCAGCTATGCAAATACTGACTCAAATAATCCAGAACAAAGCATGTCAGCAAAACTTCAAGGTAAAGAAGGTGCATTGCACCCAAATAACTACATCAAGTGAGTTAAGACATAAGTCATAAAGGAAGATCAATTATTATGGCAGTTTACACATCAGATCTGCCACTTGTGACTTTTATTATGTGAAAGTCATGCTCATCTTAAGGCTGAGTTTGAAAATACTATGTGTTTGCAGAAGTAAGGAGACTCAATGTATGCCAGTCAATCTCTCAATAAATTCCCAAGTACCAACAACTTCACAGCAAAAACAACAACAAAAAACAAACAAACAAAAACAAAAACAAAACACACACACACACACAAAACCCTGCACCTTAAATTCAAAACTATTGATGTTTAAATTAGTTCTACTTTCTCATTTAAAATGGGAAAGTAAAACTAGTGCCTAACATTGCAGGGATTGTAAGACTGATTGTAGTCAGTATTAACCTTTGGCCTGAAGCAAGTGCAATGGGTGACTGTCCATTTGGTGACCGGGGTTCCTCACATGTTCGCATCTCCACTTCGACTTTATCCAAATACTGTGAACACAGGGAAGTGAAACAAGCATGAAGAAATTACTACTTAAGAAGAAAGCACAATTACTGTATTTCAGGGGGAAAAACAGTTTGGAAACATCTTGAGATAAGAATTACACACAGTAAGTTATTGTTATCCTTGGATTCAGGGCAAATTAAGAACTGCTTCTGATCATACAAAATTTCTATACAATAGATAACTCTGTTATCAAGCTGTCATATGTTTAATATGTTACATGCATTTGGTGAAAAAGAGTTGTGTCTACAAAAGCTTATTCTACCCACTTCTTTCTGAGGTGCTACAAGATAGATCTCTTGCATACTTAAAAAATTACTTTTACTGTACTTTTATTCCTGGTCCAAAAAATCCCAGAAGTTAAATGCTAAATTGTATCCTTAAAATTTATAGTAATTAAGGACAGAATTTTATGTTAGATGTAAAACGGAAAGAGTTTTAATCAATCTATTGGTTTAAACGATATTCAGTCAATCGTCTGAATACCATCTCCATGTTAGATTTTTTATTCCTGTAAATGTTTAAAATGTTACTCCCACAAAAACTGCATTCATCCAATGTTCACATTTGTGGGTTTACCACAGATGAAAGTGATTTACCAAAAAAAAATTTGTCTTAACTCTTTTCTTCTATTGTTTTTGTTGAGGAAAAATAAGCAAGACTGCCCAGAAGTGACATTATAATATCAGAAGATGCTCCTAAATCGAGGGATATAAAACCTAAGGAAACATTGTTATATCTTGCAAGTAGTTTAAATTCCATTCCTTCCTTCCAACATTCTAATTTTCATCACAAGACTTACACAGAACTACACGTGTGAATTAAAACAATAATGTGGGAAAGAGCCTCAAAGGCTAAAACCAATCTACCCTTCAGGCAGAGGGATTTCACACCCTTAGTTTCCAATATTTTTTAAAGCAAGGACATTACCAGACAGATTGGGTGAGTCTTCAACTTTGTCCACTGGATCTGTAACAAGAAAAATGATGTTCAATGAACAGAGACTGATGCAAAGGTTAAACAGATTCAGGGTGACATTAATAGGATAAGTGCTCCTTATTGAAAAGTGGCAATATAGAAGTAGCTCCAAGGAAATACAAGCTCAAGGAGGACAAAGTGATTCCTTATCAAAAGCCACTCCATGCAAATGAAGAAAGATGCTAAAGGACAAGGGGTGCTTCCACTAATTAAAATTTAACTGGATTCAATTTAACTATTATAATGAGAGCCATGTATAAACTTTTTAGATTTTAAAAATAAAGTGACTAGGCTGATAAAGGAATTGTGTAATTTCCCATTCCAACTATTTTTTAAAATACTCTAAAAGTTCAGAGAACGCTTCTGTAGAAATAATAGAATGCAACTTTCCTCCTTACAGACTGCTCTAACACCTCTTTTTTAAGGTTTAATAAATGTACTAATAAGATTGAGGCTATTTTGCCTTTTTTCATAACCAACTTTGCTATTGCAGGCCAAATCCTGAGATAAGTGAAACGTGAGCATTCTAGGGGTTCAAATTAGTCACATAAGAGTACATTGAGAATAAAACAGTTTATCCCCTTATGTTTGTTTTACATTTTAACAAGGGCTATGCTTCTGTAAATTTGTTACTGAGGATATTGACACTCATAAAAAGGAACTAAAAAGTCCTTCAAATTCAATGTCAAAGAAGCAAAATAAAAATCAGCAAGTTTACCACCATCACGGCTTTTCCATTGGTTTATTGAGAGTGAAACAGAAATCTCCAACAGTAAAACTTGCAATTAAAACAAGTTGAAAGCATTAATACCCATGTCAGAAAGCACGAACATGAGAAACAGCTTTACAGCAGGTAGCAGATTTCACAGAGTTTCTACTGTGAGAACAGAAGAAATCAAAGCTTCACTTTTCATTCGCAATCTCCTAAGCCATTTTGCATGAGGTCTGTGCCACTACGCCTAATCCTAATGGAGCTTAAATGATTACTCGCTTACATCAACTGAAAAATCAATTTCCTGCTACAAAAAAGCTTGAGGGAATATTTTTAAGAAGAACAAATTATGCTCTGTTATCTGTATGCAAATGTACAATTGAAACTATTAATGTGCAACTGTGACTATTTAATAAATTCTTTGCAATTTTACTGTTAAATAGAACAACTGCAGATGTGAAGCCTAACAATGTACCACCAATGGAAATAGAATGTGACTACTTTCTATTTCTGAAGCACCTGGTACTTTCTGAAGCACCTGGGCTTGAGAGCTTGATCCTCTTGTGCCAATTACTGCAACAGAGCTCATGGCACAATTACAGGAAGATCAGCAACTTGGATCCAAAACTGAAGTAGTTGGGATAAACAAGGCTTGTATAGTATTAAAGTCGCAAATGGCTAAAAGTGTGAAATGTCTTCTATATTGTAAATGTTTCTGCTGATTTTAACTCACCCTGATGGAAGCCTTGTTACAAAATACCCGGGTAATGGATAACCAGGTGGGCAGATCCAAGACATTCTGCAGAACTTCTTCATCCAGTTCAAGGTTAGTCAGTTGCCCCTGCCCTTTGAGTGTACTTAAATTGATTTTATCCGGGGAGAGGTTTTTTGTAAACCTGTAGCCAAGAACACAGAGAGGAAAGGATGATGGTTACTTGGCTTAGTGGGTATAAGAACAGAATAAGGTTACAATATGGGTTAAATTTAATTCCAGCAATGAACCTAATAGGAGGGCATGCAACACATCAACATGTAAGTTTCAATTAATCCATCACCTGTAAAACAAGGTAAGAATTATGATGTGAAAATATGTACTTCTAAGGCAGTGGTTCTCAACCTTCATAATGCCGCAACTCCTTAATACAGTTCCTCATGTTGTGGTGACCTCCAACCATAAAATTGTTTTTGTTGCTACTTCATAGCTGTAATTTTGCTACTGTTATGAATCGTAACGTAAATATCGGATATACAGAATGTATTTTCATTCACTGGACCAAATTTGGCACAATTACCCAATACGCTCAAATCTGAATACTGGTGGGGTTGGGGGGAATGGATTTTGTCATTTGGGAGTTCACCTACAATCAAAGAGCATTCTGAACTTCACCAACAATGGAATTGAACCAAACTTGGCACACAGAACTCTCATGACCAACAGAAAATACTGGAAGGTTCTGGTGGGCATTGACCTTGAGTTTTGGAGTGGTTGATCACTTCCATCCAGAGAGCACTGTGAACTCAAACAGTGATGGATCTGAACCGAACTTGACACGAATAATCAATATGCCCAAATTCGAACACTGGTGGAGTTTGGAGAAAATAGACCTTGACATTTGGAAGTTATAGTTACTGAGATTTATAGTTCACCTACAATCAAAGAGCCCCTTGAACCCTCCAACGATAGAATTGGGCCAAACTTCCCACAGAGAACCCCCATGACCAACAGAATATACTGGAGGGATTTGGGAGGAATTGACAGTGGTTTAGGAGAGATGTAGTTCATCTACATCTAGAGAGCACCGTGAACCCAAACAATGATGGATCTGGACCAAATTTGGCACAAATGCCTGACATGCTGAATTCTGGGAGTTGAGGTTCACAAAATTCAGAGAGCACTCTTTACCAAACTGGTGAGGGAACTAGTAAACTTGCCACACATACCCAACATGCCAAACTTTGAATACTGGTGGGGTTTTGAGGGGAACTGACCTCAGAGGTTGGGAGTTATAGTTCACCCACATTGATAGAGCAATGTGCCCCCAACTGATGGATCTGGACCAAACTTTGCATACAGACCCAACATGGCCAACTGTGAATACTGGTGGGATTTGGGGAGGTTTGACCCACGATTTTGGGAGTTGTAGTTCACCCACATCCTTACGCATTTTCTAATGGGAGAATAAATAAAAAACAAAAGACTGACTTTTTCTAAAAATAGCACTACAAATTACCTAAGCTGCTTCTGCTTCTCCTCCTCCTCCTGATGCTGCTAGACCACTCTCAGCACTCGGGCGCTTTCCCCTCTGCCTTGAAGGGACTTGCTAGCATGAGACTCCCTCCAGCCTCGTGCGTTCTCCCTCGCCCGTGCATGCACACTATGCTGCCATGTGTGGAGCATGCCTGCTCTCCCCTGCCTGCTTGGAGTCCAAGAAACAGCCATATCCTTAGCTGTGAGGCCAGTCACTCACAACAGGAGGAGGGCTTTAGGTGGGAGGATTTGTCATCTGTTTCCAAAAAGGAAGAGAAGGTCAAGGGGAGAGATCTTCAGTCTTCTCTGCCAAAGGGGGTCCTATAACCATCAGAAATATGTATTTTCTGGTGGTCTTTGGTGACCCCTCTGTCACTCCCCTCACAACCCCCTCCCTGGGGTCCCAGGTTGATAAACAATGTTCTAGAGCATTTCAGTACAGGATGGAAGTGAGAATGATAAAGAATAGAACATATATTTTAAAATTACACTGTAAAGCTAATACATACAACAAATAAATCTATGAGAAACGTAATGATTGAGTATTCTCTCTTAATTATTAATTTTTCTTTGAGCAACTGAAGTTGTTTCCTGTTCACTGTCTGCTAACCGGTTTTTAGATATCTAGGAATGGTTCAAATATTGGTGAAAAATATGATTATAGAGGGAAACTCTTTTACTGGAATTAAATTGACTTTGTACATAGAGAATGTATACAGTAACCATCAGAGTAAGAAAGATGATTTTGTTGAATTCTATCTTTGAAAATTATCCTTGGGATTCTGCTGTGAAATTCCGCTTTTTCTCATTCTGATGATAGTCCTATACTAATTTCGAAGAAAACTGCAAAGACTCATCAACTAATCTGTTATTGTCTTTGTTGACAGGTTCTGTTTAATTCTTCAAAGTGACTTATCTGTAATGACAACAAAAGTTCTGCTATTTTTCCATAACCATATATAATTACTATAACTGATTTTGCTCACCAGAGTCCTTTGTACAGAACACATTGGCCAATGTTTGCTCGGACATTTTCTCTAAATCATCACCTGGATTGGCTGTACGTGACCATATAGCAGAAGGCAGCATGGTGAACAACCCCAAGAAAGACTCGCTGAGGCATTGTATAAGTCGATGGAGGGAAAAAGATTACAGCTTCTAAAGGTAATTATAGTAACTATGGAGAGTCAATGTGGTTCAGTGGTTTAAGCACTGAATAGGATACTGGTTTGAATTTCCCACTCACTCTGGAAACTCCCTGGGTGACTTAGGACAAGTCAGAACCTATCTGTTTCAGAGGAGGGCAAAGATAACCCCCTTTCTGAAAAAGTAATGGCAAGAAAACCCCACTATAGATTTGCCTTAGTGTTGCCATTAGTCACACAATAAAAGCAACAAGTATTCAATAAGGCATAAATATCTGACATGCAACAGAACCTGTCTGATCTTGGATGATAAGCAGGCTCAGCCCTGGTTAGTGCTTGGATGGGAGACCCACCAATAAATCTCAGGTGCTGTAAGCTATGTTTCAGAGGAAGGAAATGACAAAATTTTCTCTGAGTATTACTTGCTTAAGAAAACTCTATAAAATTCATCATGAAATCAATCAAACCATCATAAATCAACAGGCATCATATACACACACAATGATGTTGCAGAAATGTAACCGTATTAGTTTATAGCATCAAAACAAACATAAACTGCGTGACAATGATTGGGGGTTCGGTGTGTGGTAAATGCCTTGTTAAGTAGTGGTGTCAATCACTTTGAAAGAGTGACCTTCTCCTAAAAAGCCCTCTCTGGACTCAAAGGCATATGAGAAGTACCACTTGATTACTAACATCCTCTATTGGGCATTATGGGATGTTGGAAGATCCTTCTTCAGTCTCATGGAAATTTTGCGATGCAGCAGTGTTGTTGAGCCACAATGACCCCCCACCCCACCAGACCATCTATTTATTATATATGAAATGTAGAAACTTCTTTATAAATTCTAGCAAGATGTAGCCCAGAGACAGTCACCTCCATAACCCTGCTGAGATAATCCCTTGAAAACAAGAAGGTTGGAGAAATTCCTCTGTTTCCCAGGCCAAAAAATTACCAAAATGCATTGTATGTATATGCAGAGATAAGTGATTTCCCATGTCAGGCCAGATAAAGCCAAACTATTTGTACAGATATATGGTCCACTTGAAGCTGAGAGATTGCTGCCCATGGAAAAAAAAGCTGACTATGTGCATTTGTTAAGATTCTTTACTGACAGCCAAGCCTTTAAATAACGAAGATCATCACTTTTTGTTCAGGAGCCTCACCCTTTTGTCTATGGAAACTTCTAGGGAAGCCCTTTGCAGGCCTGCCTGTGAGCTGTATGTTGTGCAGGCCTACCCGAAAGGGAAGAGATATGTAACTTGAAAGTACTCCTGGATCCACTTCTGTCCTTGGAGGTCTAACAGACTGCCAGATGTATTTTTTCATAGATAGGTATAATCTAAATACAGTAGTGATCTTACAATTAGGCTTTTGTAATGCAGTCTACTTGGGGTTGTAAGATGACTCAGAAACTGCAGACAGTTTCACAATGTACCAACTAGATTGCTTACACAGCAACAAAATTGCTTACAATCTAGTATATAGAAACCACACAACACTTACCTTGAAGTACCGTATTTATGCGATTCTAATGTGCACCTTTTTTGGCTAAATGGCCCTGCCAAAATTGGGCTGCGTATTAGATCTGCATAATGCGAATCTAATTGAATGCTTGCCAGAAGCCGCAGCCTCCTTGGTGTTGGGCACCAGACCTGGGAAGGCACCTCTGAACCAATCTCATACACCAGAGTTCAGTATAAGAAAAGCAGTTTATTGAAGAATAAAAAATAGCTTCAAAAGTAGTATAATATTGTCCATAGTAAGAGTCCTTTAAACTTGGAAAACAGGAATCCAAACACCAAGTTCAGGCAAACAGTAACTGAAGACTTGGCACACAAAGTGCATCCAGGGAAACAGGAATGCATAAAACCATGACAAAAATCCAAAAGTTACAAAAGTCTGTGATTCCAAAATAATCCAGGAACAGCAATCCAGGCACATGAAGTTACAGGAATAAAAACTTAAAAATGAAATCCAAGCCACAAGAAGTTACAGGAATATAAACTGGAAACATGAAATCCAAAACTTGAACACGAGAAAGGAACTGCTGTCTTAAACCTAATGTTGATTCCTCTGAGGAATCAGCCTCAGTTACCCTCATATATATTCCAAAAAATTATGCCTTTTCTCTTGAGAAAGTTCGGCTGGATTCTTCTTGTCTATTAATCTTTGGGAACGACGTCTTCCCTCGGCCAGATGTCTCTGTTGACAGATCTGACCCTTTCTATCGAAGGAGGCATCCTTTCCTGGATCCCCAATTAACACATTCTTCTCACATTCTGCCCTTGATTCCCTAGGGAAAGCTAACACAAGCCTGTCAGCCTCTTTCTCTGTCTGTACTGGAACATCTAATGCAGACTTGACCATCCCAGAATCCTCAGCTTCATCATGACTAACAGCACTCTCCTGCCCAAAATCCCCATTTCCAGTACCCTGTGGGTCTGCAGAAGCTTGGTCACTATTCTCTGAAATCTCAGGCAACGGAACAAACACAGGCTG